CCAGGACTGGACACCCTGCAGACACACTGACCCCCCAGGACTAGAAGTGAAAATGCTTCTAGTTTGTCACCTTCCACTTATGAACATGGTCTTACTTTCAGTGAGAACGTAGCTCTATATGAACTAAAATCCAGTGTCCCTGCTGTGGTCTAATGTTCAAAGCCACATAAAGGCTGAGCACAGCTGTTTGAGGTAGTTCTGTAGATTTTATGGGGGTCATTTGCTTAGGTTTAAGATTGAAAGAGTAGTAGGGGAACCCTACATTTTCCCACTCCCCACACTATATATGGAGTGCAAGCAATGGAATCTGGGATGGCAATATCCACAACCGTCCTGTGGAAAACAATTCTGAGCAAGCTTCCTGGGAGGTGCTAAGCAGTTGCAGATGTTGACACACACTGGGTGTTACTACAAGCGACTACTGAATCTGCTGTTAATTGTTCGGGAGAAACGGGAGTCAAAGCACCTTCTGATTTTTCTATAAGGCTCTGTTTCCTTATGATTATTCAGATCTTGGACTGTGTCAGTTTGTTCTGTTCCTCAGTGGCGGTGAGGACAGCATGTTGGTCGATTCGTTCACATGCCTGAAATCGTGCTGCTGGTGTGGGTGTGGTTCTCTATTGGACTGCATGGGGGAAGCCAGGGGCTGGACACTGGTTTTGGTCTTTCAAGGCTTTATAGTTATTGGAATCATCATCGTGATGCTTCTGAAGACCTAGGGCTCTGCTGCCTTCTTAACTACGTAACTCCACTCTAAATCCAGATTAAATTGGATGTGTGTGGGGATTACAGATGATCATAAAACTGTTTCAATTCCCAGCCTATTTTAGGATCTAAAGTAGTCGTTCCCAATCCTTGTCATGGTGACCTACACCCCTGTTGGCTTTTATTCAACTGCATCTTACTTTCATAATTGAAGCCTTAATTCATCTAAGAAGTTGCTTCATTGGCGAATTTCCATTTATTTAATCTACAAAATACACCAGTTAGAGATCCAACCTGTTTAACAGCTGGGAGCTAACAGTTTACATTACTCTCAGTATTAAATCCAAGGAATCCAGGACCAGGCTTGCGAGGCCACTGCTCTAGCGCATGACTCTGTCAGGAACGTGCTCAAGGAAGCAGCCGAGCTGGTGATGTAGGTCTCCATCAACGATTACATCGCCAAGAGCTCTAGAAGGAGGTTAAGCAATTCCAGTTAATGTTTAATTGAATAAAGCTTCAGCACAGCAGTGCGGGGGGTGCTGTGGTGTTAATGGGCAGCACTTGCAGACATGGGAGTAGCTGTTCAACCACTCCAGTTCAGCCAGTCTGAGGAGATGCAGGTTATTAAAAGCCCAATAGGACTAAAATCCTGTAGAATCCATACTCGGGCCCCCCCCAGAAGCAGGGACTCCTGTTTTCTGGAGGCCAACAGGCTGCTGGACTGTTTTCTGGAAACCAGTTTAAGAGGTCTGATCCGAACCAGAATGAAATATTGGTTCTGGAGGTGTGAGGCAGACTGCTCTGCTGGAGGGAGCAGTTAGCATGTGTGATTCCTGGTTCTGCTGCTGGTTCTGGTTCCAGGCCTCCAGCAGAGCCCAGAATCAGACACTATGCATAATCCCCCCCCACACCTGCAGACTGGCCCCCTGGACAAGAAAGTGCCACCCCACACTTTACAACTGGGTTGGGAAAAGTCTTTCAGGAATAGTTTGCAAACTTGTATATAGATAATACACAGTAATAAAGACTGTTTTTTTTTCTAATCCTGTTGCTGGTTGCTTTATTTTTCTCCAGAGTGGGTGGGCTTGAAGCAAGGGTAACGAGGGGGGCAGGTCCCCTAAGCCAGTGGTAGGGCAACCCAGCAGACTTCTTCAGATTTAATGGCAAATTGGAACCCCATAGAAGTGCTTTTACAACTGAGGACTGGAGCCAGTTCTTTACACAAAGAGTGGTGGGAGTCTGGCACAAGCTGATCAGCTACATTGTTGAAGCCAACACCCTGAATGCTTTCAGGAAACAAATCGAGACAGGAGGAACCACTTTACACAAAGGGTGATGGGGATGTGTGCAACATGCTGCCCAGACATATTTATGAAGCTGGATGAGATTCTTAGATCAATTATCTATTAGCAAACGAGCAATGAGATGTATGGGTTGAGTTGTGTCCTGTAGTTTAATGTTTCTTATATACTACACTGTAGCGATGGCTGACCACATTCCACACAATGTAGCTGAGTCAGCGTTTCATCTTAAATATATTGTAAATGAGAAAGCGTATCATCCAGCCTGCTAGATGCACTGCTGGTTCCCCTTTCCAAGAAGCCTGCAGAATCCACTGATCAGATGCTCTGAAGTAACACAGTCACACATTCATTTATTCTAGAATGTCATTCACATAGGCTCACAATTAATCAATGGTGCCAGGCGTATCCAATTTTCATTCCAGTAGCTCTCTTTAAACAGCTGCATTCACACCATCATGTGAACCTACTTGGCTTTTTTTTGTAAAACAAAAACAGAGGAGCAGCACCAAACCTGTTTAATTCAAAACTAATGACCATCACAGGTGGGCAACACTTGGTGGAGGTGAGTAGAAGCCATAGGACTTGCTTGTGAAGCTGTGGCCATTGCCATCATATGGGTCTTGGGCTATGACCTCTGACCCCAGGCCGTGATGAGGACAGGGTGCAGAATTCTAGACAGTGTAATGCACACAACTAAACAGTCTCTAGAGGGCTTGACTGTTGAATCCAGCATTACTGTCAGAGACCTGCCAGCTGCTGGTCCTGGTAATTGCTGCTAATAGGTGTTTTAGTGCACAATTAAGTGCTCAGCTCTAGAGGATGAATAATTACTTCAAATTCCCAAATCACATTGTCCACACAGGGTAAATGCTTTAGAACACAAACCATACCAGTTGAATTAGTTAAAAGGCCTAGGCTTATGAAAACAAATTAACTTATTGACCAGCTCTTAATTTCTTCTAATTGACAAACGCTGTCAGTGCTTCTTTTTCACTACGCCCTTCGGGGAAAATGACTAATCTTTTAAAAAGCATTTTGACGTCGGTATTAGAAGGAATACCGATCAACTTCAATTCCAGTCAACCAAACACTTCAGTGCTGACATTGCCGGGACTGACAACGTGGCTGTCTGGGAACAGTGTGGTCTGACTCGACATGCAGAGGACAAGTGTCTCTAAACCCAGCAGACACACTGACCTCCCAGGACCAGGACTGGATACCCGCAGACACACTGACCCCCCAGGACCAGGCCTGGACAACCTGCTGCAGACAGGACTAGGGAGTAAGGAGAAGGAGCTGGGGATCGCACAGCTCTGTCCAGATGTGTGCAGCGACATTGTCAGATGCCCCCTATTACAATAGCAGAGCACAGCAGCTGGGCAAGGCTGTCAGCCAAAAGACAACAGCCCAGCAACAAGATCATTTGATATGAAGGGTAAAACATACACACATAAACATTCCAAGACACAAGAAATAACAGACATAAAAAAACAACACAGAAACAGTACAAATTACTGCTTGTGCTTTAAAATAAAAAATACATAGCATGAACAGAAAAGATCAATTATATATATACCAGTATACATAATTCAAATCATTCCTAATTAAAATTATCAGCATACATAATTGATAAATGAATGATCAATGAAATAACACAAACTGCCAAGATTCAGCACAATTGCCCTGCACTTTCTCTGATGGCGATAAGGCTCTCCGTCCCTCATCTTGCCAGAAGTAGTCTTGTTGGACTAGTAGGGGGCGCTCCTCCAAACCATTCCCCAGTGTGATGACACTGCCACAGGGGATTCTGACCAATGAATGTAACTTTAAACTAAGGACACCTTGAAGATCCCAGGGAACTCTTCATAAAGGAATATTAAACCTGACTGAATTTCACTCTGGTTTTACACAATCCGACCGCCTAAGGTTCCTCCTTAATCCACCTGGGGCAGCCTCTCTTTCTAAATTAAAGTTCGGGGAAAAAACAACACTTTCCTGGGGAGTAATTAATACAGAAAATGTCCTAATTACATTTGTCTCCATAACCAGGACTGCTTTTCTACATCCTTGGTTAATGTCTCGGCACACGCCCACCTGTCTTGGAATGGCCAGATGGAGGAACACCTATGTTGTCGGTGCCAGTTTTTAGACAATAGAGGTGCTGCTGCATCAGAAGCAGACAAGACCGAGTAAACCCTATCTGTCCAGGTGCTGCTCGTCAATTACGTGCCATTGCTAAGGGGAATCTTGATTATTGCTGGCTAGTGGCACAACCCTGATTTGAACTAGCAACATCAGGACCACAGAGTTCAACCTGCCATCCATGAGGCTCCTCCATTGGGTGTACCACTCACCTCCATTTTAGAACAACTGATTGAGCTAAAAGCCTAAGCATCCGTGGCCCTGGGGTGACCAGGGCTCCGCTGTGAGAGGTCCTGGCTATGGAGAACAGATTGCAGGTTCCGCGCAAGAACGGGGAGCTGAGCTCAGACGGTGCTGTGGACAGAAAAGGATGGGCCAGAATGGTCAGATTTCTCACGCTTGGCTCAGTCCTGTACCCCTCCTAAACCTAAAATTACAATGAGGAATGAGGTCTTCTGCTCCGGTGCAGGCTGGTGAATGGTTCTGGTCCAGAGTGAAGGATTTGCACTGCAGATTTCACCGTGACAAATCAAATCCAATGTTGGATCCCGAGTCAATTGATCTCAGTATTATGGAGCATCGGAGACAGAGACAGCTTACGGGGTGCAGGAGGTTGAGCAGTAAAGGGGAAACCTTCCACGCACCACAAAACCCCCACCATTTTCAGACCTTGTCCGCAAAAGCCTCTTCTATCATCCCTCCATCTCTCCTCGCATCAACAGTCATCAGTCACTCTTCTCTCCTGAAAAGAAGGGACCATCAAGACACTTCGTTAGGGCTACCTGAGACGCGTCTCGTACCCGCCGCAGCGGGACGGCCCTATCTGTGCAGACATGACGAGACACAGACGGAGCGAACCTGACCTCCGGCCGTCAGCACCAGCGCCTGCAGGATGTCGGACAGAGAGACGATGCCCTTCACCACCTCGCTGGCATCCACCACCACCAGCCTGTGGACCTGCGAGGCACAGAGACAGGAGTCACTGAGGGGGGCACAGCTGGGAGAACTGGACCAGCCTCTGCCCGAGGGGAATGATCTCTGCTGGATCCTCCCAGCAAAAGGATGAGTTCAGATAACAGGCTTGGGTTGGTTTTAAAGAGCGGTCAAAACAGAAGAAATGAAAGTATAAATGAGCAGTGAAATACAGCTCATGTAAAATATTGTTAAAGTGCATATACTGAACAGTGACTGCATCATGTTCGAATTAAAGAGTGTATGTAACATGAGTACTTGATGCATTTACAAAAAAACAATTACAATACAATGATGTACACTAAATTAAGACATGTAAGAACCAGCAACATGCAAAAATAATAAATACATAAATTACTTTTTTGTACAGCATACCTGTAAATCAGTCTAAAAGGCGTGAATATCAGTCCTACAGGGGTGGGTGGGTAAATTACTTACAATGGGTGTAGTCTGTTGTGTGTGCTTTAGTGAGTTTTCTACAGTATATTTCGACACATGAAATAAAGAAATTTATATTTACGAGTGCTGACTGCAGCAATTGCAGTGTCGACTGAAACGGTTACAAAATAAGTCAAAAGATCCCATAAGCATATATATGTAATGCAGTCAGAGGGTCTTTAATCAACTGTCTCTTGCCCTGAATTGAAAACCTGCATGTCTCAGCTCCTGCGAGTCTTTTTCTCAGGAATGCTGGAAAGGTCAGGCCCTTAGAAACACTTTTTGTTGGGATTCTGACAAACTAGGACATTATAACAAGGGTCAATCTCGTCGCCCCCAGTGACGACCCGTCCCTGCTGGAGTCTCGGTCTACAGCTCCAAGAGGGAGACACGTCTGGAGGTCAATCAGAAGCCCCTGACAGGGCTGGGACAGTCAGCCAATCAGGAACCTGCTGGCTGGGGAAAACGCTACATCTGATGATGTCACGACCAATCAGGTGCTGGGATTCCTGGACTTCCAAATGTGGGAACTGGCGACTCCTGGCAAGCTAGCTAGCTACCCACGTGACCCATCAGCCAGCAGCTCAAGGAGTCCTGCGCACCTCGGCCTCCACCAGCCTGTTGATGATGGCCTCCAGCGTCTCGTGGCAGTAGCACTTGAGCACGCCCTCGAAGTACTGCGAGCGGTGCTGCAGGGCCTTGGTCACGGTGATGTCCAGGTTATTGTAGGTCTTCTCCGCCGCCAGGTTCTGCAGCAACAACACAGCGAGACGCTGAGGGCCGCAGACGGAAACACCACGCCAGTCACGGGGCACAGACTTCCTGCTTACGGCCCGCCCTCCAAAACCCCCGGGCCGCCTCGACCACCAGATTGTCAGCCTCGCGAACAATCGCCAGTTCTGAGCAATTCGGCAAATCGTTTGTTTAAGGAAACATGCTTCTTGGGGAACTAAAAAATAAAATAATGATCGAATAAAAACGATCGAATTCCAACACATTACTCTCATGCCGCAAGCAGAGAGTAACAAGCCGGGCCGATCGGTAGTTATCAGCTAATAAGATCTGAAGATCCCAACTAGCTGTTTCTAACAAGAAACCAGGGTATCGGCTTCAACAACATGGCTGGCAACTTGTTCCATATCCCTCCAGCCCATTGTGTCAAGAAGTGCCTCTTGTTTCGATTTTGGGAGCCCCTGGGATTCTTTAGAACAAGGTGTAGAAACTGATGATCTAATTAATGGTGACCTACTGAACCTGCCGGGCAGGGTGCGGCACCTCTGTCCGAGACTGACCGGGCACTACAGTGTCAGAGGGCACAGCTTGTCACTAAATTGGCACCCAGCAGCCGTTTATGTCTGCTCTCTCTACGTGTGGCTCTGCAGGTCCCGCGAGCGCTTTACCCCAGCGGAGACCACACTCTGTCCAGCTCCACGCAGAGACTCCCTCTGCACTGCAGGCTGACCCACTCCAGGTCTTCACAAGGCGCTGGAGAGCTCAACCTCCTGACCTCGGGCGAGTCGGCACTGCACACACCCCACCCTGCCCAAACACAACAGCCACGTGGAAACTGCACCCCCCCCGACAGACAGAGCAACAGAGGGGCACACTTACGATGACATCGAACTTGGAGTAGATGTCCACTACTCGGCCTGGGAGAGGGAGAGACAGAGGGAGACAGAGAGGGGAGGAGGTTAGAAAGGAAGAGCAAGAGGAAAAGGTCATTTCATAATTCAGAGGTGGCGGCACGTTCTGCACGCCTTCGACGTTGGCTTTGTGTCTGCACATGCGTTTCTCCACCTGGCTGTTTGCTGACCTCTGACCCCCCCCCCCATCCTCACCGGAGTCGTCCACCACAGGCAGGGCAGAGACACGCTGCTCCACGAAGATGCCCAGCGCGGTGTAGAGGGGCGTGTCCGTTCTCACCATGGCGATGTTCTTGAACGTCCCGATGCCCAGCTGCTCCAGAGTCTGCCTCATGAAGGCTGGCTTTGGCATCTCCGAGATCTCTCCCCCCGGACAGGGATGGGGCGAGAGAGAGGGAGAGGAAGAGATGCCACATGAGCAGGTAAGTTACTGCCAGGGGTCAAGGGGCAGGGGTCAGAGGGCGAGAGGCAATACTCACAAACAGCTTGAGGAATTTGAGGATCCTCTTGTGTGTGAGGATGTACAGGGTGTTCCCCGTCAGGGGATCGATCACAGGAAGCCTGTGGATCTTGTGCTCCACCAGCGACGACACTGCGTCATACAGACTGAGAGAAAGAGACTGGATTAAAGCTACAGAAAGAGGCAGAGGCAGAGACATACTGGGGAGATCATCTTTCTGAGAGATGTACCAGGATAAAAAGAGTGGAAAAACACAGGGAGAGAGACAAGACGGAGACAGAGAATGGCAGACCCAGAGAGACAGAGACACAAGAGAAAAACAGACCAATACAGAGGTCCAGAGACAGAAAATGGGACAGAGAGAGACACAGGGTCAGAGAGAGACAAACCGATAGGTTCAGAGATATCATCAGGGGGACAGTTAAATACAGATCCAGAGACAGCAGGACAGAGAGAGGAGGGCAGGCAAAGAGGGAGAGATAAATACAGATACAGCGGGACAGAGACAGGAGGGCAGAAAAAGAGGGAGAGATAAGTAGAGATCCAGACCGGGACAGGGGGAGAGAAAGAGAGAGGCACAGGGTGTGGACACCAGATGAGAGAGTGCTGACCTGGCGCTGGGCGAGATGCTGACCAGAGGTTTGAACGAGTCCTGCAGATACACCTCTGAGAGAGACAGAAAGCCATTATGACATTGACTCACATTTAATAAAGACTTTATTTAACACAGCACCTTTCATGACCATGACTCAAGGCACTGCACAGAACAAGAACAGCAAAAACATCAGAACATGAAAAGAACAGCCAGAACACGAATTCAACCATTCCATGTTCAGGCACCTTTGAGTTATGGTGGGATGGGAGTTAATTGATATGAAATTCCAAGTGCAAGATAAAGACCCCCCCCACAACTAAGGAAAGATAAAACAGCCCATCACAAGTGTTCAAGGTCTTGGGAATGTCCAAACATAGGGGGGCCCCCATTACTATGGTAACAATTTGCGTCAGAAGCGGCTGAAATTTGCTATATAAACTGGAAGTTTTGTACCTATATTTCAAACAATACTTTGGTCTTATTGTTCCTTGCATACAACAAACTCAGTTACTCAGTGGCTCTAGAACGTATTTGTCTGTTACTACACATGTAGAGGTAAAGACACCTTCACAAGACTGAGAACATGAGCTGCGAATGCAAGGCTCTGGTCACAAGTGACTACAGGATTCCTGACCTGAATACCAGGACATCAACACTCAAGCTGAGGCCGACATTTGCAGAGGTGACAAGGACAGCCAATCAGCTTTACCTTGGCCTTTTCAGAGTTCATTTGAGCAGCATGACAAGGTCAGCGCTAACTGATCCAACTTTTTGAGAATTTGGGGGTCATCAGCATTGATATGAAAGCAGATGGCATATCGATGAAGAATCTGACACAATGGTAACCTTCATCTTCTAGCCCCTTCACACAATTCAGGGTCACAGGGGAGCCAGAGCCTATCCCAGCAAGCAACAGGCACAAGGCAGGGTACACCTTGGACATGACACCAGTCCATCTCAGGGCACATACAGACACACACACCAGGGGCTACCAGCATGTCTTTGGACTGTGGGAGGATACTGGAGCACCTGGAGGAAACCCATGTGAAGATGGGGAGAACATACAAACCCCACACAGATGGTACCCCAGGCCCGGAATTGAACCCAGGACCCTAGCGCTGCTGACCACTGCGCCCCCGTGCTGCACCGCAGTGGTTACAGACACACAGACAATACAAAGATCAGATTCAAGAATGGAGCCCTGTGGGACACCAACCATGACTTACGTTGGTAAGAAGAAAGAGACACTTACCTCTCCACGTCTCTATTTTGTGCTCCTCCAGCTCATATATCTGCACCTGAAACAGCACAGCACAGCCCTGTCAGACAGAGGGAGGCGGGGAGGTGGGCAGCACAGCCCTGTCAGGCAGAGGGAGGCGGGGAGACGGGCAGCACAGCCCTGTCAGACAGAGGGAGGCGGGGAGGCGGGCAGCACAGCCCTGTCAGACAGAGGGAGGCGGGGAGGCGGGCAGCACAGCCCTGTCAGACAGAGGAGTTGAAGCGAGAGGGACAGAAAGTGTCCTACCAGAGGAGACTTGTAGTAGCGGTGGAGGATATTGATGAAGTCTGTGATGGTCAGCATGCCTGCAGGAGAGAGAGAGGGTGCCGTTAACCTAGTGCGGAGAGCCTCTCCAGTGTTCTTTACTGTTGAGGGTCTCTGAGTTTACAGCTGCACAGCACTCAGCGGTGTCGAGGCACAACGCCTGCTCCTTACCCACAAAGCACTGCTTCTTGCTGTCCCAGAGTGGGGCGGCTCGAACGCCATTGGACACCAGAGCAAAGAATGCCTTCTTCACCTGGACAGAGAGGAGAGGGGAGACAGAAGGAAGACAGCAGCAGGGAGGGGGAAAGGGCCACAGGCAGGAAGGAGAGTTGAGGGGAGAGAGACGAGGAAGGCACAACGATGAGGATGGCCCCTGTCCTACACCACCTCTCCTCGCCTCCTGCCCTGCGACCCACCCATTTCTACAAGACCCCCAACATCCATAATGCCCAGCTTTCTCAGGACAAATATTCCAAGCATATGGGCATCACTTGGAAGACACAAACAGACTCACTGCCCCAGATCAAGGCTCAGAAGAGACACCAGTCCATGTCAGGACAACTGGAACTCCATCACATCCCAGCAGCAGTGCCTCATCAACAGCGCGGTCTTAAAACGACAGCCAGCGATTGCACGGCTCTGAGGTCTACCGAGACACACGAGCGTGTGTGTCGAGGATTCTCCTGACGGGGAATGGCTGCTGTTCGGAACAGCAGTCCACAAGCCTCTTGGCACTGTTGCTGTATTTCACAGGAACACCAGCACCAAATCTGAAGTGTAGCTATCCTGCCACAGACGCCAACACCTCCCCCCCAGGAATTAGATGTCATCCAGCTGTTTCTTGAAAAAAGCCAGGGTATCGGCTTCAACCACATGGCTGGGCAACTTGTTCCACACCCCCACCACCCTTATTGTTTTAAATACACTGCTGTGAAGCTTCCTCCTGGAAGATCCCAGGACGTCTTTAGAAAGAAAAGCAATCACACAGAGATTAGTTAGCAGAGGGGATTAACAGACCCATCTGAAATGGAGATACACACACATACACAGAGGTCCTCTGGGACTGTGATGGAGAAGCACTACCCTAAACCAATTCAACCCCATACCCTCTCTCTGCACAAGCTTAGCACTTTCTCAGACACGCCGACTTGCGGACATTTACAAAACAGAAGCAGACACTTGGCCTATCGTGTCTGCTGGGCTGGTGACTAAACACACAGGATCTCCTTGTGGAGATCAAGCCACTTCTTCGAGGATCCCAGCAGATTCCGTTTCAGTAACATGGCTGGGCAGCTTGTCACCCCCTCCCACAACTCTTCGTGTAAAGAGGTGCCAACTGCTTCTTTACACAAGGAGGAAGGAGCAGAGGCATCTGGGCACCCGGCGTGGCCCCCGTACCTGCAGCGAGGTGTCGAAGACGACCAGTTTGGAGCTGGTGGGCACCAGGTCGTAGCAGCGGTGCGACTTCATGAACCGCGTGTAAACATCGCGATCCGGGTCTGCGGGAGAGAGACAGGAGACACCGTGTTCAGGTCCCTGTTCCTCCAACAGGGCAGGAGGCACGGGGCCGTGTTTTGTGCCGGCTGTCCTCTGATTGCTAGGAGAACTGAGCTGTTTCAAACTGTTACATGTGACCATACCGCCCCCTGCTGGTAAGCTGGCTGACCTACAGGCTGTTCCTGGATACACAGAGAAAACAGCTTTTTCAGTAGCCTGGCGGGTGGGCATGTTAGGTACAGTATTTGGTTTCGGCTCACCCGAAGAAGGCTTCACGGCCAAAAAATTGTGTTTCCTTTCTTCTCTTTTCAGCCTGGAATCAACCTTTACTTGTTCCTTTGCAGCCTAAGCCTGCTGAGGCAGCTCCCTGCTTGAACTACTACAGTATCTGGTGCCTGTTTCAGTCTCTGGTGCCTGTTTCAGTGGGGCGTTAAGGCGGTGATGGGGGTGTATCTCCGTGACAGCCTTCCTCAGACCTCCTCCACTCTCGGCTGCTCCTCTTACTGATTCAGCTGAACACAGCCAGATCAGCTCTGAATGATGTCATGTCCCGGACCGCACACAGTGGAGCTGGGTCGGCTCTTTTCATATAGGGCACCTGTGATTCCTACAGGATAGGGCCAGTCCAGGACCAGGGCTGGAGGTCTCTGGGCTACAGACCCCCTCGCTGCCCCTGCGGCACACTGGGACACTGTCCTACCCACCTGCTGTAAGGGGACGCTTTTTGCCCTCTGGGTCTTCGAGGCCGGCTGCGATCTGCAAACACAAAGCATCCGCCATGAATTGCGGCCACAAGTTTATTGTGTATAACAAGTCAAGCGCTAAAAGCGGGCGGCTCTGCTGATCCCGTTTTTACTGTCCCGTCAGCACCCGCGCCCCTATGGACAGGCGAGTTTTGGGGAAAAATGTTGGAATTTATTTGGGGGCTGGGAGCAGGAAAAATCACCGGGAGCAAAAACCCGACAAGTCATAAAAAAAAAGTCTGAGATCCTGTCACTGCAAGCGATCGTGCAGGACACGGGTGTTTCTGAACCGAGCCTCCTCTCCGAACAGATCCCGGGAGGACAGACCGAGAGGCTCGGCGCTCCGAACCGAACCGGAGCAGGCGGAAGTTTGTTTCGAACACAGCGGCATATCCGGGTTTCAGAGTTTGTAATAAAACTCCAAGTTACAGCCCTGTACGTCCACACCGGAGAGGGAGAGGGAGAGATGAGGACGGGACGAGGCAAGATTGCAGTGTTGAAAATCAACTGCCAGTAACGTAACCGATCTGCCCGAATTAAAGCAACTCGCTCTTCTCTCGCCCCCTCTCTCATGTCGTGCAGGACACGAATGCTCCCCAGGTGTCTGAAAGACGCAAGAACCGAGCTCTGAACACGGAGTACAGCTCGTTCCCAGTAAATACATTATTTAGTGGAAACACAGGCAAACACAAGATGCGTGTCGGCTCCATGAAAATAAAAACGGTAACGCGGATATATAAATATTTTCTCCAGCTCACAATCTCCATGCCATCCGCTATCTCGCACGACCGACGGGGCTCTATTCCGGATATCTACTGCCGTCGGAAGAGGTTGGTTTGCTTGCTCATTCACTTTTTCTCGCTTTAATCCCCGTTTCTGGGAAAGATTTCAGTCCCCGACGCAGCCCCTCCTCTTTTCGACTTCCGGTGGGACCATCGATGCAGCAGGACCAGGGTCTAGAGCGATCACGCCCCTCTGAGGGGGACGTCCGGTTAGGGTTTCGTGCTGGCAAATAGCGCCTCCTGCTGTTCAGGTACAAGAACGTCTCCGACAATTCACGTATTTTTCCGTCCTGTGCACCAGTTCGACACCTTCTAACCTCGTAGAATCCAGGGTATCGTCTTCAACACTGTGGTGGGGTAGCTTCCTACACACTCCCACAAGGAAATGCTCCTGGTTACAATTCCAAAAGCACTTTCACTTAATGTAAAAACTGAAAACAGGAGGCTTCCTCCACAGGCAGTCTAGTTTGAAAAAGCTATACCTTAGCTTAGCTGTATTGGTCTAAACAATTTCTGAAAATGGACAGATATCTGAAACGCATTTTCCAGATGTTTCCATCTAACCATCCTTGTTTTAGCTGTTTTCTCCATTTCAGGGTTGTGTGAGAGCTAGAGCCCCAGCAAGCGAAGGGCACAAGGCAAGATACACCCTGGATGGGACGCCAGTCCATCAAGCCAGTTAACCCACCAGCATGTCTTTGGACTGTGGGAGGAAACCCACGTGAACGCAGGGAGAACATGCAAACCCCACACAATTACAATATTTATAAAGTACCTTGTGATAGACAAACATACAAGTAAAAAAAAAAAGCAAACAAGCACCTACAGTTTCACACAGAGGGAAGGCCAGTCAATCAGATAGAGGCCTAGTAAAGAGATGGGCTTTGAGTTTGAATTTGAAGAGAGGGAAAGAACTTGTCTCACAAACTCTGAGGCAGGGCGTTCCGTAACAAAGAAGCGGTGACAGAAAAAAGCACGCTCTCTGAAAGTCCCAGGATTCAGTCCTGGGTACAGTGAGGAAAGGACCAGCCTCAACAGAGCCCACAGCAGGGAGTGAAAACAAGGAGAATGATGGAGTTAGATTTTTTTAAGGCCTCAAGAGTCAATAACAAGACCTTGTATTGAATGCGCCTTAATAAACACTCAATGCAGAGGATGAAGTGTGGAAGTGTCATGTTGCCAACACCTGGTGCGAGCTGGACGTCTAGCTGCAGGGTTTTGGGCATATTGCAATTTAACTGAGAGGAGTGTCCGGGAGCCCACAGAGTAAAGAGCTGCAGAAATCAGGCCTTGGTATTATAAATACATGAATCAGGCACTCGGCGTCAGACATCGAGAGAAATTGCCCAGTGCGGGAAATCAAGACGTTTTTATTGAAATCTTCACGTGTGGCTCCCAGACTCCTCGGGACGATCCCAGCTGCCTTCTAAACTTGGAACATCCCTGAGCAGTGCAGCACGGTAGCTGAAAAGAAGAAACACTCTCCCACTGTTTCAGGGACAGTTCCACACAGTCCAGACCATAGATTTTCCATAGACGGCTCCAACGTGAAAGCGATAGGCTACAGGAAAAAAAAAAATAGTTTAGGTTAAGATGCAGCGAAAGCAGGTTTACACTTTTGACAACAAAAGCGAATCACACCAGCAGATCCTTGTACAGGCAGCAGCGCTGGGGCCCTGGGTTCAGTTCCTCTGGTGCTGGCTGTGTGGAGGTTGCATGTCCTCCCACAGTCCAACCCACAGGTGGGTTAATTGGCTTCTGGGAAAATTGGCCCTTGGTGCGAGTATCTGTGTGTGCCCTGCAATGGACTGGCGTCCCATCCAGGGTGTACCCTGCCTCGTGCCTGTTGCTTGCTGGGATAGGCTCCAGCTCCCCTGAAACCCTGAATTGGAAGAAGTTTAAGATGGATGGTCATCCCTGTGCATTGGAGAGAAAAAAAGCTTGGAGGGGAACTTGACATGCATTTACTCTGCAAATGTTCGTACCCATTTGCCAGCATTGCACCATATCCCTTGAGGAGCACAAAGCGGCGAGAAACTTCTCACCTTAAGATCACGCTGCTCTCCCACAGGTTGGATGTGCCACATGTATGTGGTTTTAGAAATGCTGGATCACATGGAACAGCCAAACCACCCATCTGAGGAAAAAGATTCCCTGGAAGGATCACACTTCCACAGTGGGGAAAAACATGACTCCCCCTTTACAGTAATGGAGCAGGTTGGAAGAGCCGCAGGCTGAGTTGTCCTATTACGCATGATGCGTACAAGCTCTGGTCAAAACATTAGAACCCCACCCCCCACCCCTGTGTGATGATCAGACTCCCCCGTCTGTAGTGTTTCGTTGGGATGGAGGAGCAGGAGACAGACTTCCATCACCTTCCCTGGACAGAACAATCCCCACACCTCACACCTGCTGGAAACCAGTGGAACCAGTGGACCTGTCCTGTTCAGTCCCCAGACACCACCACCATCCTCACAACCCCAGCTGAAGGCCGTCCTGCTGCAGGAATGGGATGGGATGGGGATGCGAATACCTCAGATCCCGGAGGGATTCCCTCAGGCCACCTGTCCCTGCTATGTGCAGAGGCTCGGCATGTTCCTCATTGGGAGCTCCTAATGGTGAGTAGTCAGAGTAGTCTAGCTCTGGTCATTGGAGCCATTCAGCCTATCCAGCCCAAATGGTAGCTAGCAATTACATGACCTGAAGATCCCGTTCAGATGTTTTTTGGGAGAAACCGGGGTAAAGACTTCAACAACATGGCTGGGTAGTTTGTTCCACACTCCCACCACTCTCGTGGACATGCAGTGAACACCCCCTAGGGCACTGAGGTTCGGGAATCTTCTAAACACTCGTACACGACAAAAGACCCAAGTAACATGCTTTATATTTAAAATGCATTTTTATTTTCATCTTTACAAGAAAAACAAAGCTGAGACAGAGGGACAGAGGGAGAGAGTAAAAGCAGAAGGAAGGTATTGAGAGATTAGATAATAGCCTCTGGCGTCCTCCAAAACATAAATTATATACAATTCAAAATTATATCCATACAAAACATGCCACAGACAATAAAAACAACCATTTATTCTTCTTCCCTAAAAGTAGGTCTGCTGTACAGATTTCAACACAACACCTTTTAAAAAAAAGTAAATGTAATGCTTAAAAAAAGACATCCTCAGCTTTTAGTTATGCTTTTCTTAAATTAAAAAGCTGTGCAGAGAACTTAAATAAGGATATTCCAAACAAATACAACTAAAAAAAATGGGCTTCATTCAGTATGGTTCAGGCAAGAGAGCAAAAATTATCCAGTGACAACATGATCTTGAAAATGGAAAAAAAAGTAACCAAAAGAAAAACTAAATCAACCACAACTTATGTTTGTAAAAACTTAAAACATCTACCCTACCCCACCATCAGAGTCACGCCACAAACACGGTTTAACAATCCCATGAACAGGGGTCCTCGAGGATGGTCTGGGGGCGATCAGGGATGGAAAATCACAACAAACCCAGTAGGAAAACTAGTCATATCACACATGAGCTACTCCGATATATAGATTTCATTTACTATGTAAAAAAAGAAAGTGTTGGGCTGCACAGAGCAATTGGGGTTTCCTTTCGGGACTGGTTTGGGTTCAGTTCTCCCTTGAAAAAAAAAAATCGAAAGAAACGTAGGAAATGATTTTATACCAAGACAGCCTGGCCTGTGTTTTTCAACTCCTGGCCTTCGCAATCGCATCATGATTTTAAATGAAAGGTTTAAAAAAAAGAAAAGCAGAAGACTCTGTGGCTTAAAAACATCTCCGACGACTTCTTAACTCTGTGTCTGGCCCGAGCCGTCAGCTAACAAATAAAGTCTCGTCAAGCGGAAATGTACAGGCGTGTTTTACAGGCTGCTAATAAATCAAAGCTAATAGAAAATACAATTAAATGCAAAAAACCCAGTTCATATAGACATTATTAAGATTTATTTAGTTTGCAGTTTATTTTTTAAAAGTTTTTTTTAATATATTTTCTAATAAAATGATATCCAGTGGTTGTTTTGAACTCTTTATCTCACCTTCTTGATTAAAAAGGAGCCTCGGACAGGAGAGCACTCAGCCCCTGGTTGTATATCTATATACAGTTTGTACACTTTGCAGCTTTTTTAAACTGGTGTGAGAGGAAGAGAGGGAGGGCTGGACAACATCACTCCCTCCAAATCTTTGTTTTTTTCATTTTTGTACTGTCATTAATTTAAATTTAATTTAAAAAAAATCATCAAATGCCCTTTTACACCTTTCACTGCTGAAGCCGCAGGCCACCAATAGGGGAATCTGCTCTCCCCAGCACCCCGAAAATGCAGCACACACCCCCACCCCTGTCTGTCCCTGTACAGTGGCAGAATGAGGGGTGAGAGTGAGGGGGGTTCGAGGCAGGGGGGACCCCCCCCAGTGGAGTCTGGGCTGGCAGTTTAAGAGAGACTACAGTAAATATACATCTGACTCCGCCGAAAGGAGAGTCATTCTTCTCAGACTGCGAGAGTCTTCATTTTCGGGGGTCACTGTTCCTCTCTGGATGAGAGGGGAGCAGTCGTGACCCCCCATCCCCCAGCCCACCCAGTTCGGGTGAAGAGGAACGCGCGCCGCGCTGCCCGACCGGAGCCCCTCGCTGCCACACAGGACGGGCAAGGTCGGGGTCCACGCGCAAGCACCTGGCTCCCCCATCCACTCGCCAATCCGACTCGCCGGGGCAGGAGCACGGAAGTTCTCCGTGTCCGGCTGCCGCGCTCCGGGGAAGGGGACACGCCCCTGAAGGACTCGGGGCCTCTGAAGTCGCTAATCACCCGTTAGCCATGACGGTAGCGGGGGAGGCGGCCGGTCTCCTCGATCCAGCCTCTAAGATTAAAGGGGGGGGGAAGAAAGACTAAAGGGATTCAGATTTCCTAGACGACATTGGGTACAGGACAGGGCAAGAGATCCGACTCTCAGTTTCTGTACCTGCCAACAGCTGGGAGACAGCTGCCGTGATGCCTTGTTCAAATTGTTGCTTTATTTTCAATTTTTTAAAAGCAGAACGAGAGCTTGGCAGGCAAGTAACTTTACCGAGGACGCCCCATTCTCCTGAAATCCCGGAGAGATCACCTGCCCTGCCCACCCCCCCAGAACAGAACAGAAAGAAGAACGACTACCCCCTCGGGACGAGCACCAGCGTTGTGCGTACAAGTGGAGGATATTCACTTGTCAATTTCTATGTACAGAGAGAGAGAGAGATCCCGCTTTGAAAAATAAACCCCCCAAAAAAGAAAGCTACAAAAAGCCAGGACCGTCTAGCTCATTCTTAACCGGAAGATGCCAGCTTGGTTAATGCGCGAGTCTGAGATTAAAACCTTAAAAATTAACCGATTTCTTTTTAAACAGTAATTATACGTCTATATACAATATATAATATGGGCAGCAATAATTAGTCAATCACCAAAGGTAATCCAAGAGCAAGCCTGCTGCTTACACCCCACATCTCCGAAAGAGCTATTGCCACAGAAACATACCCCCCCCCCACTACCCAAAACCCACCCATCCACCCTAATTTGACCCCGCATGTACCCCCTCCCCTCCCAGCAGCAGCCCTGTAGTTTTTCCGAAGCGAATAGATTCCACAGACTCTATGAGGTAGGCTGGGTCCTGTAACCCATCTTCAGCATCGACATACAATAAAACACCTGTCTCTCAGCAGGCTCCCGCCATCGCTGCTCCTCTCCAACAGGCTTCCTGTGTCGCAACGTCCCCTCCGGTGGGATCTCTCCACGCTCTGCTCGGGGTTCGGAGAGCGTCCGGAGCCGTTTTGGGATTGTCTCGCGGATACATATGCAGGTTCTCTCTCAAAGAAACGGGCTCGCTGGGATCACCCCCGCAGACGGGACCGGAGAGAGGAGAACGAGAACAAGAGGAAAACTCGCAAGCTGGAAAAGTCTGAATGGATTGGAAACCAAACCGAAACCGGCTGCGTCCGTCCTTCATCGAAATCTCTTTGTAGGAGTTCAGATCGACCAAGAGCCAGTTTAGCTCTGGCAGGGTGAAGGAGACGGCCATTCCTTCCGGAGGAGGAGCTGGAGTGCTCCCGGCGCCATCCTCGCTGGAAGATCTGCGGGAAGGGCGGAGCAGAGGGGGGGGAGGGCAGGGGAGGTCCTGGCTCGTTTCGTACGTTTGGATTCAGGTGCGCCCCCGGCCATCCCAGGATTGTCCCATCTGTCCTCTTCCTCCTCCACAGAGAAAGCGTCCCAACAACAGCAGCAGCACCTGGAAAGTGGTTCCTTTATTTCAAGTAGAGTTTTTTTTTTTGCGTCTTAAAAATCTGGGGCTCCTGGAGTTGTTCACCCATAAAAAAAAAAGCGCTGTAACGCATCCACCTTTACAGTGGAGGTCAGGGGTCGTCTCCCAGCTCCTCCTCTTGGAAACAGCTCGCGACTGGGTGCGGTATCTTGGCTTGGCGACTCAGGCCTGGCCGTGTGGGGGGCCTCCCTCCTCTTCCACCAGGGCAGGACCCCCCCGCGGCCTCAGTTCATCCACTTGCGGCAGTTCCAGGCCCCGCAGTGACATGGGATCTTGTGCTGGTCATCCTCAAAGTCGAACTGGTAGTCGTAGGTCAGCTGGAGAAAGAGAGAGGGAGACATGGAGAAGGTCCGTCATTAACCATGAACTCCCTTCCTTTCCACAGCCCCCCGATACTGTCCTATAAATGAGGGCTGTGCTGTTTGGGGACAGGCGCAGCTCTGCCCCTTGCGGGCTTGGAGCCACACAGCGCCGTTAGGCTGGGTCTCCTGCCACAGGGCAAGTCGGGAGAATCGGTGCCACTGAACCCCGCCTGTCATGCTTGCACCCACTGGAGGACTGGAGAACGTGCTAGAAATCACCACGGCTACCGGCAGAGACTCGACTAGACTGGTCAACCAGCTGGTTCTCGCATCAGCTGGGAGAGGAATATTCACCTGACTGCAGACGTGTACGTAAACATGAAAGAACTGACCATGACATCTTACACCATCTGCAAAGCCAGACAGAGATAACGCCTTGAGGGCAGCTGCTGAAAACTGAGTACTTTAACCCGGATCAATGAAAACTTCACTTAATCAGCCGAGATTTCTCAAGGCAATCAGCATCCTTGACCCAAAACACCGTGCAGTTTGGAAGAGGATACTCTCCCTTCAGATTATTCCAGGTTTTGGTGTGGAATGCAAATTTGAAAGTACAAATACAAACACAAGGCAAGAAAAATCCAGCAGGTGACAAACTTGTCAGTTTTTTAGCTTCATTCCAGAAACGTATGGATTTAGCCTTTTGTGCTTTTCATTTGTTGCTTCACACAGCAGCATCACCCCAGGAAAGAAGTGACAGGGAGTAAAATTTCAATGAAAATATTAACATTGGACATTTCCACTGAACGCTAGGTGACCTTTACCTCCTCCTTGTGAGCCTTTTCTTAATTTGCTTATATGTTCTACATGATTTATTGCCACACTGGTCTGTGATACCACTGTTAATATATAGAACAACTGTGTTAAGAACTGTCAATATCCATAAGGTAACTAACTCATTGAGATGGTATATGGCATTCAAACAGGGAATATCACCCCCTTGTGGCTGGATGACTGCATTACTCTGTGACATTCAAGCGCAATTTAAAGATCTCTTTTTCGCCTTTCAATTTTTTCGGACGACACGCTGGGTTTCCCAAAGCAAGCCAGTCTTTTTTTTCTCAGCTTCTGTTATGTACATTACATGCGTGCTACTTTCCTGAAATAGTGCTGAAGCACCCATGAATTGTAATTTAGGAGTTACTACTGGTATGCAGTCGATATTGACATTTTTTTTAAAAAGGATTAAATTTACAATTTAAAACGTGTCTGAAATGGATAAAAATGTTTTTTTTTTTTAATATTCTGCTTTTGACATGGTCAGAACACAGGCACCACGCTGCAATTGTATTCGAGGGACAGGCACCACAAGCTTTCACTGATTGATCACCACAGGATCTTGCTTCTCTCTCACAGATGAGCCAAACTGTACTCTTGAAGGCTGAGGACAACCGAGAGGGAGCAGCTTGCTCTCTGTAGTAACACACTGCACTAGCAGAGAGCCACTCCACTCTTAAGCTGCTCTCCACTTTCTCCAAAAGTGCAGAGCAAGACGGGACTCTGCATGGGCTTTGGAAACCTGAACCCAGACGCAGGGGCTTGAGCCCTAGAAATGCTGATTAAGAGTAATTAAGCCATCAGCAGCAACGGTGGCTCTCCAGCAGCTGGACTGAGACCGACCATGATGGAGCAGCAACACACTGCACTAACAGAACAGTTGGTACAGAACCCCAGAGCCGAGCTGAGCCGGGCCTGTCACGCCACGTCTCACTGCGAGCCCTTACCTCCTCTCCCTTGGGGATGCGCCGGCTGGAGATGATGATGATCTTGTCCTCCTTGTCGAAGGTCACGACCTCTGCCACGCAGTTCGGGGCACAGGAGTGGTTGACGTAACTGTGCAGGAAAGACGCACGGGAAGAAAAAACGTAAGGAAGGATCCCCAACAGGAGAAGGCCATCCGGCCCATCGAGCTTGTGTGCTTCCCGGGAGTTCATGTATCCAAGGATCTTGGACAGCTATTGTTTGAAAAGATCCCCGAGATTGCCAAGGCTGAGCAGTTTGTTATAGATCCCCGTTCCCAAATGCATTCCCCCCTTGGTTTCCAAAACTGGTCAGGAGTTGCAGAAATAACAACACGATGCAGCTAGACAGGAAGGATGGGAGAGAAGGACTTCACCAGGACAGGCCCTCCCCCCACAGCACCAAGATCAGGGACTCACCGGGCCGGGCCTCCGGTCAGAGTGGCATCGATCACATGTTCATTGTTGATCCGGAACATGTAAATCCCTCGATTCTGGAATCACAGGGGAATTAAGGAAAAACTCGTAACTCTGAGCCACAAGTGCACCACAGAAAGGAATAATTACACACAACCTCTAGGCAGACAGGTAAAAATTCCTACATCTGAATACCCACCCTGAATCTAATTGATAAAACACTTCACAATCCTCCTCCTCTGACTTTACCACACCCAATTAACCCAGCCAAAGGAATGTGCTGTTCCAAAAAGCTTTTATAAAAAATGAGGTACATGTGAAGATGAAAGCTTCATTACGTTAAATGTTAGGAAAGGTCCAAACGCAAACATTTGTGCTAACGTGATTACAAAGAAGAGGATTTTCCTTAAATGGAGTCTAAGGGTGTCACCCAAAGATGTCAAAACACTTAAGTTCTACAGTCGGTGTGAAATTGATATCCATCTGTCCCATTGCGGCCCGTACGCTGACAAAGCCTCACCCCGCAATGGGAATCTATTAGTTGGGAGGTTCAAGTGAAGTGATAGCCCTGAACAAGGCCACCGCTGACCTGCTCCTCGTAGATCTTCTCCCGGCGGTTGGCGACCTCGTTGCGGATGATGGTGCCGATGTACTCGATGACCATGGTGTGCTTCTCCAAGTCCTTGGCCGCGTACAGGCCCAGGCCCTGAATGCGTGAGCGCGCCAGATACACGTTGTTCTTCCACTCCGTCTTCAGCCGCCGGTACTGGGAGGACTTGGAGTGGACGAACTGCTTGCTGTAGGGCGTGTTGATCTCTCCTGTGAACGTGCTCTGGTACGCCTTTGACATGCTGGTGCTGTTCAGGGTGTGGGGCCTGCAGAAGGAGGAAGCAATCCTGAAATGGGGGAACAAGCGTGTTGACTGATGCGAGCAGGCGCGAAGGAGCCAACGAGGAGGCCCCGTGGAATGTTAAAGGGGGCCAGGCTCTCACCTCTTGAAGTGGGTGAGGATCTTTGGCTCGGAACGGGCACAGCCAGTAGGGTTGATCATCAGGGGCAGCTCCATCAGGGGGTGGCGGCCGTAGCGGAACACGTAGTTCTGGCAGTTCTCCACACCGGGCAGCTGGGACGGAGACAGAGCAGTCAAAACACGGATCATGGCCTCGCCTTAGAGGGCCGCCGGGCTGCGGCGGAGGAGAGTGGCCCTTACCGATTCAGTGATGCGCAGCACGGCGTGCACGGTCAGCCCGTACATCTCCTCCCCCTTCACATGGTCCGTGAACAGCTTCAGCATCTCCGCCTCCTGCCGCAGCCGGGCCACCTGCTCCACCACGCGGTCCCACAGCGCTGCGCACAGGAAACAGAACGGGGAGGCCGTGAGACCAACTTCCTGCCGCGCTGCACTAAAAATCTCCTTATGCCCCGAATTCCCAAAAGAGCCTGACGCTCGGAAACTATCTCGCTGGGGAAAGACGGGTGAACAACTGGACTAGACGCACAAAATCGCGGAGCAACCTGCCACAGCCTTGGGTTTTCAGAGCGCAGGGCACAGAGAGGGGACACAGGGTGGAAACATCATTCATGGAGAGCGAGGGGAAGCGAGCGAGAGGGCACGTCCGAAACCCGGTGCACCCTGCGTGACTCACCAACTGGCCTAACTGTTCAGACCGGCCGTCGTACACCTGGGGATAACTGTGTGGCAAGTCACAACGACACAAGAGGGATGCGATGCCCAAACGTGGCTTGCAGTGAGACGCCAGGCCAGATCTTTAAGGGGGGGGGGGCCTTACCTTGTGGCGAGGATTCCCGCAGCAGTAGGTCCTCGTGCCCCTGCTCCAGCACGCGCACCTCGAAGAGCGGTCGCCCGTCCTCCTCGCTGATGCGGCAGCGGTAGCAGCAGCGGCGGTTGGGGAGGCGCGTGCTCCAGTAGATGCGCGTGGCCTCGTAGCCCACGGGGAAGATGGCGGAGGAAGAGTGGAAGGCCGCCATCTGGGAGGGCAGCAGCTGGCCCACGGCGTGGAAGATGAGCCCACCGACCCGGAACATGTGGATCCGGTCGCCCCGCTGCAGGATGCTGGCGATCTGCTTCACCTCGTCGCGCTCAATGTAGACGCGGCGGAAGACGGCGAAGGAGCTCAGCTCCTCCTCGCTGGGGCCCTTCAGCTTGTGCTGGGTGCAGAGCATGGTCTTGTCCTTGAAGAACATGCAGCGCGCCCGGATGGCGCAGGCAAAGTGATACACGTTGGGGCAGCGCAGGCGGTTGCAGCTGTTGGTGGCGCCCGTCTTCTGGCAGTAGGCGCAGCGCGTGCGCAGCCCCCGCCGCAGGGCCACCTCCACGTTGATGAGCGCCCCGCCCTGCGTCTCGTACACCTCCGTGGACCACAGCGCACAGTTCAGGTGCACCCACAGGTCCAGGTCGATGTTGAGCAGGCGGGCCGGCCCGTCCGTGGCGCCGTCGCCCTCTTCGTGGCAGAAGCAGCACTTGCGCAGGTCGCGGGGCAGCACGTCGGGCCGCAGCGTGATGCGCAGGCGCTCCATCAGCTCCGAGATCTCGCGCGCGCTCTCGCGCCGGGACCCCGCCTTGCGGATGGTGATCAGCAGCTGCAGCCGCTTCCAGCGCAGGCCCTTCCACTTCTTCACCTTGGGCCGCACCTCCTCGTCCTCCGACGCTGGCCGCCCGCGCTGCTTGACCAGTTTCGGGGCCTCTGGAGCTGGGATGAGGGCAGGGGTGTTGGCGGGGAGGGCAGGGGTGGGGGCGGCTGGGACAGAAGCCAGAGGAGGGGGAGGGGGAGCCAGGATGGGCTCTGGCTCTGGTTCGGGCTTGACTGCATCAGCCAGGCTTGCGGGGGAGGGCGAGGTGGGCTGGACATCAGGAGGAACTGCAGGAGCAGGAGGAGGAGGAGGAGGGGGCGAAGGTGACTGAGGTGGCGAGGCTTCCACAGGGATGATGGGAAGGTGCCGCACATCCAGGTTGGAGACGTTGGCGGTGTAGCAGTGTTGGACGGGCTTCTGCTCCGGTTCGGGACACTCCTGAGAAAGGGGCAGATTGGAAGCATACCTATTACACACTTGTCAACTTCCTTCCCCCTTCCTCAGTCATCAGCCTGGGCAGCTGGTCAGTACTAATCAGCTGCAAAACAACTAACGATCTGAATCGCTTCACTTTGCCTTTGGCAGATTCCTTTGATAGTGAAAGAAGGATCTGTAATCTTTATAATACCGGACACGTGAGAAGTAGAGAAAAGCCGGGAAGACAAAGTGGACAGTCTTCCACACATCCAGAGGCACACAAGAAACCAGTCATGTAAACCATGCAAACACAAGACTGGACGAAATTACACTGCATGTAACAATTTACTTTGTAAACAATTTAATAGATTGTATAAAATTCATTTTTGCCCCCAAAAAATCTCATCTCTAAAGTGTATGAGAGCATCTTCCTCAAATGCACCAGGCACGTCCTCCAGCAGAGGGACTGACCTGTTTAATAAGAGACAGGATGTCCACCTGCTTCTTCAGGGTGCAGCCGGGTAGGGACACATCAAACTGCTTCAGCCAGTCGGCCTTCTCCTGCGTGGGGCGCTCTTCCTCAGAGGGGCTGGGCTTCGGACACAGGGCTCCTGGGACGGAGATCAGGATTAGTTACAGCATCATTACTCAGCTCTTGAACAGGCAGATGAGGGAAAGGAAGGCACCACGAGCAAGCCTGCACCTGCCTGCTGACTGGGTGACCGCAAAGCAGACTCTTCATGTTGGTAAGCTAGTACACTGCCCGCACAAACAGAAGACACAGACTACGACCTGCCCTGTCGCAGACACTGGAAGGAAAATAAGCAACGAGAGGAGCCCAATTGACCTGTTTAGTCCATCCTACTGTTAGATCGGATGATTTTGTACTGCCCTTTCTGGAATTCCTGGAAGAACTGTCTTTTGTGGGCTCATCTGCAGAATGAAGGGGCATTATGGAGGAACAATGCGGATGCCTGTTGAGGCCGATGGCTGTGTCCGCTACCTCTTATGAGAGGTACCCGAGTTGCCCGACTCTGCAGATTCAGAGTGTCCAATCTACATCATACAAGGATGAACGGGGTAATGCCAATGTGAATACAAGTTCACTCAGGAAGCAGATAATTTGTTTCTGGAAAACAATGCTAACACAAGCCATAGCCCCAGCTGCGGGCAAAGCTCAAGGAGCTTGTGTACTATTGGGGTTCTGTCCATTGCGTGCCCAACTGGCACAGTTACCTGGTGCGGAGGAGTCCGGAGCTGGCTTGCCCGGCTCGGCGGCCCCCCTGCCTGGGCTCTGGGGGAACGCCACCTCATAGGACACGGGCATGCGCATGTGTAGGAGCTGGGCTACCGCCACCATCACGGTGTTGAGGTTCTGCAGGGGGAGAGCAAGAGAGGACAACCGGGGTCAGCCAGCAGCTACAAGTGTGAAGTACAAGGAACAGAGCCACGGATCAGTTTCACGATTTCCTCTAGTGACAGCTCTAACAGTCGACCTGGCGTGCCAAAACAGAAGGAAGGCCACTCAGCCCATCCAGCTCAATCGCTTGCATAGTAGCAAACTTGATCTGTAAAAATCCAGGGTATCAGCTTCAACAACATGGCCCATCAACCTTCGTGTTAAAACGTACCACCCAGCCTCAGTTTCAAAAACATTTCCCTCCAGGTTTTGACCTGTGATCTCAACCTATTTCATTCTTGAACTTGCTTCCTAAGCATCTACATCAGGCCCTGCAAAGGGTAAATGAACCAAGCAACCAAACCACATTGTGCCTGTTCTTCTCTGAAGCGGTGCCTTTGGGTTGATGATTCCCTCTAGCCTTTTCATTTTCACACGAGAGGGACAAGAAGCAGGGAGCAGGAATGCAGCTCAGCATTGGCTCGTACCTTGGCGGCGGCAGCGGAGAGGGTAAAGGTCACCGACACTTCGCTGCCCTTTGCTTTGTCCCAGAGACTTGACCTAGGCGCCACCTTCCCATGCTCTGGAAACTCAAACGGCTTATCTGGAAACACTATGGAATAGGAAGCACAAAAAAACGCATTAAGCTCTAATCCTGCATGCTTCACATGTAAATCAAAACCCCAAAGACTACATAAACCTGTACGATTTAATCAGTCAGTAAATCTAATGACAAAGAGCTCTTGAAATAGTGGTGCCCAATTCCAGTTCTGGAGTGCGGTAGAGTTTGTTTTCTTTTTTTCTCTTCTCTCCACAACCTCATTGGGGTCATCATTAAGTTCATTAGACCCGTTTCACTTTTCAAAAGGTCTTCAGCTTCTAGTGACTTGGAGACCTAGAACACCTGCTGGACTCCGGCCCTCCAGGACTGCCCCTGTGCCCTTGACAGATCAAGCCCAGCGACCGAGCCAGACTGTCTGGCACGGGCAAAGCAAAGCTGTCCTCCCGGCCCCGGGCTGCCACTGACGTACCGGGAATGGAGGTGCGGGGGATGATGGGAATGACGGGGGAGAAGGCCCTCTCGCTCTCCTCTAGCCTGGCGTCTCCGAGGAGGGGGAAGCGTGGAGCCTCGTCACCCAGGACGCTCTCGGGTGAAGACGCTGGGACAATGCTGTCAGGAGCGTCGCTGTCCTCGTCACTCTCCATCCTGCAAGTTACGCACACAGGGGACACGTCAGAGAGACTGATATTGTGCTTTTGGAGTGAAATCCAAAGGGCATGACTGAAAGCAGTTGACCAGAACACATGGCCCTTCCGGCACAGTCAGATGGAATACTTCCATACAGCAGTGCTTTATTCGCGAGGACAATATCAGCCTTCGTCAAACTGAACACCAAGTCAGTGGAGTGGTGAGAAATTGTGGTTTGCACTGCCCTGGCTGCAGTGGAGGGGGCTCGGCTCAGGCGGCCTACCTGATGTCCTCGTTCTGGTTGTGGGGGGGTGTGGGCAGGGCAGCCAGCAGGTCCATACTCTTCACCTCCTCGGCAGCAGAGTCTGGAGCCACACAGGAGCATGTTAATCCAGTGACCAGACAACCATATCTGATTGGAAATGCACATTCGTACACGGGAGTAGGCTTGCGCCCATTTTAGATTGGTACCTTTTTAGCACAGACCTTGGTTATAAAACACTACGTCATTCAATCTAGAAGTGTTGCGTCACCTGCTTAATTTAACCTGCTGGACTATTCCTCAGAACACGCAGATGCTTTAACAGGTGGCCACTGTGCAAAAATGAACCCACCCCGCTACTTCCCTGAGGCTAATAGTCACGCCCCTCTGCACCGTGACTAAATTGAGTGTTTGAAGGTGGTTTTAATTTTAGGATTAAATACAAAATAGTCAAATAAAAGATACCATCATCAGCTTTCATGCTAAATGGAGAAGCTCTCCCACCATGTGGGCAGACCTTGAACGTACTTAGCAAGTGTCAAAGTCAACTTCAGACTACTGTAAAAGGCCAGAGTTTTATTAAGGGAATTTAAAGGGCAAAAAATGCAGGTTGAACAAGAGCAAGTCACATTCTTAACTTCAGAAACGCACAAGCAGCCAAAGCACACTTCCACACATTCCTATGAAGGACTACCCCATCTGCATCTCACCCTTGGGCTCCTCGGCCTCCGAGGGGGCATCCGGCTCCTTCTGCCCCTCGGTCAGCTCCTCCACAGCTGTCACTCCGTTCAGCAGCTTGTGCTGAACTGAGGGGGGCGGCGTGGGGGGCAGCGAGGAGGGGGGCGTGGGCGGGTTGCTCAGGTTATTCTGCGGAGAGAGCACACACCTGAATCACCTTCTGCCAGACAGGAAGTGACCTCATAGCACATGACACATGCTTTCAGAGCTGTGGTCAACAACCCCACACACACCTAATCAGTGAGACTGAGGAATTATTAAAATTCCCCAGTAAATTCTTAAAATTCATTGTAAAAAGTAATAATCGTTGCACAAGGTAAGAGTCATGGATTACTTTTGAAAAATGTTCCCCCCCAAACACCTGTTTAAGAGAAGCTGTACTTCGAATGACGCAGAAGTTTGCGTAATCGGCTGTACAAGACATTTAAAAAAAAGCTTTGCGGGATTAAGAAATTCTTTGCAGTGGAAGCCCAGAAGACTGTTCTCCAATGATTGGGTCAGAGAGCCCTGCTTTAGATAATTTGAAAAGAACCTCTTGACATTTTAAAAGTTCGACCCAAAGTCTGGATTTCCAGTGCCAGGGAGCTGGGAAGCAGGACTGCGGGGCGGCCGTACCTTGGTGAGCAGCTGGGAGTAGTAGTCGGGAATGTTGTCCAGGACCGCGTTCCCGAATGAGCCCTTCAGCTGGGCTTTGCCGTTGGCAGGGCTGCTGCCGAAGGGGGAGAACAGGTCCAGGTTGGCTGCGATGGAGGGCTCCATCAGAGGCAGCAGAGACAGCTCCTGGTGTCGGGAACAGAGAGGCAGCGGCTTATACCAGGCTCCAGGGATGAGGGCAAACCACTTACTCCCTGCCTCTGGCCACGTGCAACTCCTTTCCCATTAGACAAGGAGAGCTTTGCCATCTAATCCCAAGAATTCAGAGCCACTCCAGGACTTCAGGGCCTCCGGGTCCTCAGTTTATCATTCCACCTGAGATGCTGCTTAACCGAATGAATTGAATAGAAGTCGAAACACCTGCCTATTAGGTCTTGATTAGTTGCTCACTGAACAGCATCTGTGGACTTCAGCCCACATAAACCTTATCCCCTAACATTCCAACTAGCAGTTAAGCTAAATTAGTTGTCTTTATTGGACTAATTTAAGTTTTGCTCATCCTTTCAGCTTCTGTGGCTTTCAAGAGACCTAGAAAACCTGCAGAGCTGTCATCTCTCCAGGAATGTCAGTTTAAGCTGAAAAGATACAAGACACAGGGCCGCAACAGAAGAGAGCAGAGCAGAACAGCAACAGCCGTGCTCTTGCTTGGCCAAATCAGACATCACTTTCAGAGAAGAGCAACCAGGTACCTTCGGGGACTTCAGGGAATGTCCTATACTGACAGGCTGAAGAGACTGAATCTCTGTCTTGAACAGAGACGGCTGAGAGAGGACCAGATCTGATTACCTGAAACCAACAGTGATGAGTCTATCCTTCAGACCCTTCTTCAGTGTCAAGTGAAACAAGTGAGGAGAAAACTGGACACTTTGTGCAACAGCTTTTGAAGTTAAAAACTGGAGGCGTATCTTCATCTAAAGGAAGAAAGTCTGGAACAAGCCATCCAGTCATGTTGCTGAAACCTATATCCTGGTTTCTATTAAAAACGGGCTGAAGGAGATCAGTTTGTGACTGCTGTTATGTTCTGACCGGTGATGGCTGATCTGTACCTGCTACGGTCTCGGTCTGACCCAAGATGTTTTTAAAAGACCGAAGGGCCTGCAGGTGCAGGGATCACTGAAAAGGGGTACCTCCACTCACCCCCTCCTGCCTGACATGCCCTTAAGGCCGAAAGGAGGTGGTCTTGTGGCCACCAGGAGAAAGTGTGGCCCCACTGACTTTATTATGGGTCAAGAACTCCTCCTCGACAGAGTAACGGAGAGAGGACAGGAGGGAGCCCGGCAGCCTCCACTCTCCAGCTCACCTGTTTCAGGTGTTTCATCAGGGCCTCCGTGCTCTTCCCCATCTCCTCCTTCTTCGTCTTCTTCCGAGAGTTGGCCACCCTGTCTCCCGACTTGGGCGTGCGCTTGGGCTTTGCCCCAGCGGGCTTTTTAGTGATGGACTGCAGGTCCTGTGTGTGATGGGGGGGGGATTGGGGGTGGTGGACAGGCGGAGAAGAAGAACCTGGTTATCAAGGGGAGCAGAGGGCCAGATAGCAGCCACAGTAGGTACCTGCAGTGCCTGATTACCGCTCGCTTCAGAGAAAACAGGTGCACTGGGGAAAAAAACATCCCTGCATTATATAAGTCCTTTACATGTGAACCCTCGTTGGCCTGTGCAGAACAGAGGTATACTGGCCAGAGCTGGTCTCCCTGAAGTGCAAGTCGCTGCCTACCGCAATATAAGCACTTTTTCTACACAAAAACAAAAATGCAGACCACAAACAGCTGAAACTTAACATGCAAATACAGTAAATGCGTTAACTGTATATGCTTGGGCAACACATGCCAATGAAACTCGCTGAACTGACTGAACCGAGTGGAGAGAGTGTGGGGGAGGACGTGGGAGTGAATATGAGGGATGAGGTTGACCTCACCTCCATGTTGCGTGGCGTGGCTTGCAGCTTCTGCTCCAGTAGTGCCAGCTTACTGTTGATGTGCCCATTGATCTCGCTGTGGATGCCGTCGGAGGGCCGCTGCGCGGCGAGCTGCAGGTTCTTGGTGCGCAGGAGCTTCTGGAGGAGCTGCTGTCCCGTCTCAGACCTGGGGCCAGTGGAGCCCGGAGGGCCAGGCGGGGCTGCAGGATTGTCTGGGCTGGAAGGGATGACGGTGCTGCCGGACCCGGCAGCGGTGGTGGGGTGAAGCCCCACTGGCTCGCCATTGGACTCCCTCTTGATGGCGCCGGTCCGGCCCTCTGCACCGGGCCCGACCCCGTCGCACTGCACCTCCCCAGGCTCCTGCTTGATATTCTGAAGTGTGATGCTGTAGAGCGAGTCGGAGCTGCCGGAGCCCGTCGGGGCCTGGGGTGTTTGGCTCTCGGAACCCTGTCCTGCTGGCTGCTGGAGCTCCTCCTTCTGAGGCGACGGCCCGTTGGGGTGTCGCTCCTTTGTGTCTGCATCCTCCCCGACAGCGTTTCCCGCAGGCTGACATTCAGATTTAAGACCTGGTTGGTCCACAGGTCTGTTGGCATCGGCTGTTTGAGCTGCCTTGGTCCCAGCCGGGTCGCTTTGCCCGAGGTTTCGCTCCGTTTCAGCGCTGGCACTGCCGGGATTAGAGGGCGTGAGCGTGCCGGGCTCCCGCTTGGCGACCCTTGCTGGACTGGAGATGGCCTCCTGTTGTTGAACAGAGGTGGAGATGGGTGCTGTATCTGAGGGTGCAGGGCACACTGCTCTGGCTGGAGAGCACCCAGGTATTTGGGGGGCCTGGAAAGGGCTGGAGGCAGCTGTGTGTGGTGGATGCTGCTGCTGTTTCTGTATCAGCTGCTGGTAGTGCAGGGCCTGTGTGGGTGAGGCTTGGTGCAGCCCTGTAGGCTGGGAGGCCATGGCTTGGGCCACAACATGCCTCTGCTGCTGGACACAGAGGGGATCCCCAGGGGAGCTGTGACCTAAAGCCTGGCGAGGAGACATCGGCCTGATTAGACAGCCCTGAGAGGGCACATTTACCTGTCCCATCATGCCTTGCTGCACAGGAGTCTGACTTCTAGCTGCTTTCTGCTGAAGCTGCTGCTGGAGCTGTTGTTGAGTCATCATGGTGTGCTGCATAGCTTGCTGTTGTTGTGTAGGGAGCCCATGCTGTGGTTGAGCCTGGGGTGTCATTTGCTGTGGCACTGCAGACTGTCCCATGATTCCTGGCTGCTGCTGCTGGGGAGATCCGATAACCCCTTGCTGTTGAGGAGAACCTGAAGCCCCTTGCTGCACCAGTGCTCCTTGGTGGAACTGCTGCTGCTGTGACATGAGTCCCTGCATCCGTTGGTCATTAGAGGGCACCTGTTGTCCCTGCCCCTGCTGCCCTTGCAATTGAACCTGTCCCTGGTTTGCTGCCTGCCTCAGCATCTGCCCTTGCTGGAGCTGGCGCTGGGCAAGGATGGCTTGGATCTGCTGCTGGGGGGGAAGGTGGCGCAGCTGGGGGTTCTGAGCAATGTAGTTCTGGAGGCTCAGGGAAGCTTGGACCTGCCCCATAGTTGCCACACTGCCCCCTGTTCTTTGGCCCATCATCCCTTGCTGACCCCTCACCACCTGCTGCCCCATGGCCATCTGCCCCATCATGGCTTGCTTCTGCTGGACCAAGAGGGCTTGTTGCTGCTGCTGCTGTTGTGTGGGGTGGGCCATCATACCAGGCTGAGGCTGGCTGGAGTTATTCTGCCCTAGGACTGCCTGCTGTTGCCCCAGCATTCCTTGCTGCTGACCCATAACACCCATGTTCTGCTGTCCCACCATGCCTTGTGGTTGCGGTCCAGGCTTCTGACCCAAAATGGTTCCCTGCTGCTGTGCCATGTAACACATTTGTTGGCCTTCCTGTTTGATAGTGATGAGGCCAGGCTTCTCCCCTCCCAGGGAATTCTGCCTCTGCAGAGCCAGCTGCTGCTGTTGCTGTGCTTGGGAGAGCATCCCTGTCTGCTGTCCACCCAGGTAGCTGTGCTGTTGCTGAGGTGCTGGAGTGGTAGAGGGATTTGGGGGCTGCTGCTGCTGTAGTGACTGTTGCTGACCCATGTAGATGTGGGTTTGCTGTTGCAGTACTGCCCCATGATGGTCACCAGCAGAGCCAGGCTGCTGTATGTGAACTGGAGTTGAGGGTCCTTGCTGCTGCGGCCTGGGACTCAGCAGCCCAACCTCCTTGGGGCTGGAATTCTGTCCCTGAGGCTCCAGTGGAAGGCTCTGCCCACCTGGCTGCAGACCATCAGGGGCCCCTTGTGGTTGTAGCCCCTCATGGGAGGCCCCGGCTGGAGGTGAGGGGCCTAGGAGGCCCTGAGGCTCAGCTGACCCTGGCTGAGAAGGAGTGGGCTGGAGCTGTCCTCCAGAGTCTTGCTGCTGGCTGCTTTGGTTCAAGAAGCTTTGCTGTTGCTGTTGTAAATGCTGCTGCTGTAGCTGATGCATTTGCTGCTGCTGCTGTAAATGGGCCAGATTCTTGGCAGCGTTGTGTTGTTGCTGTGAAAGCAGCATGCGCTGGGCGAGGACATTCTGTTGTTGTGGGGTGAGCTGACTTAGTCCTTGTGGCCCCCTGAGGGCCTGCTGCTGGGGCCCCAATGGTCTCTGAATGCCCTGCTGTGCCATCAAGCCCTGGGCTCTCTGCTGCTGCAGTAAAACCTGTTGACTTCCCATCATTCCCTGTTGGTTTCCCATTATTCCTGGGGTCTGACCAATCTGTTGCCCGGCCATTATACTCTGTTGTGCCTGGGCCAGTGGCTGGTTACCAATCATGCCCTGCGGTGCCTGGACCTGACCTTGCTGGCTCTGCAGCGGTATCTGCTGAGTTCCCATCATACCCTGTTGGTTTGAGACGAGCTGCTGGGGTCCCATCATGCCTTGCTGCTGAGGTGGCTGCTGCTGGGCCATCATGGGGTTTCCCATTATACCCTGCTGTGGCTGTCCAACTACCCCACCTGGCTGCTGCCCCAGAATGCCTGGCTGCTGTGCTTGCTGTGGCATGGGTAGCTGTCCCATCATGCCTTGCTGCTGTTGCTGCTGCATCTTCTGGACCAGCTGCATCCTGTGCTGAAGCTGCATCTGTCTTTCCTGCAGGAGCCGTGCATCAGGACCAGGGGCTCCAGCCCCTTGGGGAAAATAACCCCCCGAGGGCACAGGGGTTGCTGCACCCAGGGCTCCAGGGTGTGGTGTCTGAGCTCCTCCAGGGAAAGGCTGCCCTTGTTGACCAGCTACGTTCATTCCCAGAGGGGGCATACGCACAGGCTGCTGCCCCAACAGGGGCGCCCCCTGCTGACCTGCCATAAGCTGACCAGGGAGCTTCGCGACCAACCGGGGCCCCTGTGTGGACGGACCAGGTGCCAGGATCCCAGAGCCCTGCTGGTGCTGTTGCTGTTTGTTGCGGTATTCTGTCATCAGGTTGGTGTGCTCCTTCTGCTGCTTCCGCACCTGAAACACAACAGCACAGTCAAGAGCCACCGGGTAAACAGCAAAGCACAAGGCTACCTGGAAAGCTCTCAGGTTGCTCTTGAGCCACACAGAATTGTCTGTGTGCACAGAGAATGCAGCCCTGGACGTGAAACCATAGCGGATGGCCACAACACATACAAAGCAAATGAGTGTTCAATTAAAGCACTTTATTTCTGCCAAGGGTGATTCCAATGCTTGTATATTGTACCTTGTTTGGGCTATTCAGATGTGTAATGAACACACAGTTATGGTAAAAACAGCCTGCTGGTTCACGGTCTCAGTCAACTGCCATAGCTACTATTCCAAACTGCACTGGATTTGCTTTGCACAGATCTGTGGTGAAACAGGTTGGACTGCAGGCCTCAAAGCTTGTGTAGCTTCAGGATTATGGACTACACACATCGAAGCATGTGCAAAGCTACAGGAATGTAAGAGTGTAACCAAGAATTTACAACCATCTGTAGCAGGGATGTCCAATCCAGGCCCTGGAACGCCAGTGTCTACAAGGTCTGCTTTCTACCACGGCGCTTCACAACTGAAACCAGATGGTTTTTGGCTTATTTTAGTTATTTGGAATAACTAAATCCCTTCTCCTAGCTCTTCAGGTGCTAGTGCTTTAATCCCAGAATGCCCGCAGATGCACCGTGCCCTCCGGGACTGGGACTGGACAGCTCCCAATGCCGGCCTGGAAGCAGGACCAGAAAAAGGGTCTCACCTGGTCCAGCTGTTTCTGGATCTTGCTCTGCTGCTCAGTGACCAGCTTGAGCTTCTCAGCGTCAGCCTCGGGGAACTCCCGGCCAGCCTTCTTGGCAGTGCGCTGCTTGGCGCACAGGGCTTTACGAGACTTCCTGTGCACGCCGATCTGCTCCTCCAGGAACTTGAGCTGCATCTGCAGGAGCTGCTGGGTGTGGAGAAGCCACTCTTCGTACTGGTGCTGCTCCGCGTCGTCTGAGAGAGAGAGAGAACAAGAGTTACTCACTCCTCTCCTGGAGAGCTAAGAGTCTTCAAGCTTCAACTCAAACAACCCGAATTACTGAAGAGAACAGTTGTTTCAATTAAGTACCAAAGTCTCTGTGTCTAAGCTCTCTGTGACCAAGCATAACAGATAGAGTGCCGAGAAAGGCAACTACTTGCTCCAACAATGAAACACACAGTTTTAGATGCACATTAAAAAACACAAGAAATGAGTATTGTGCGCAAAAGCATTTGTTGTACTTTGAATGCCTCAGTTTAGAAAATGCTCATTTTAGCCCGTGAAGAATGGAATAGCATCGATCAGTGGTTAGGATGCTCACTACAACCACTCTTATCCCAACCCCAACCAAAAGGACTGAGCCTTGGAACACACTACCGTCTTTTTAAGCACTTACATTATGCAGTGGAGGAGGGGAGGGTGGATTCTAAAATTCTGACCATTGAACATACTCCAGCTGGGATTCCCACAAATACGACATAGGAACACATTGACACTTTACTGAACAGCAGACTGAAGACTTACTGATGATTCCCTGCACAAACTGGGGAGGGTTGGGTCTGGCCTGGGTGGGCTCACTGCCTTCCCCCTCCTGTGGAAGAGAGAGAGGGTGAGATTACACTGGGTCTCCTGTCCTTGACGCTCCTCATCTCTGGAAACTGGCATATATATTAGTGCAACAAACCACACTACTGATAACAGTCGTGACAGGGCTGTTTCAAAACTACCCTTTTGATCAATGGGATGACTGAGCAGGCAATGTGCTATAATGTTCTTAAATGTGATGCAACTCTATCCATCTCATCTTCTCCCACTTAGACAGGATCATTGACATGCGAGAGAGTAAAGAAGAGTTTCAGTAAAGGCTTTTTTCTTGCCACTCTCCCACACAGGCTGTCCTGGAGTAGGTGCTCAGTTTAGAAGGGCAGCGCAGGCTGGCGAGTGTCTGAGTGGCACCTCTTAGCTTCGCTGAACCCAAAGAGACCAGTAATCTCTTCCCAGTCAGCATCTCTCTTCACCCACCTCAGTGGGTTCACAAGCTCCTCGGTCTTCCTGGCTGGGTTGTTGTATTGCTAAGTGACTTGTCTTGAAATCCAGAATCAAACAGAAGGAACTCACATACCACTGCATTTATATTAAAAGGTAAAATCACTATTGGATCCCTTTCAAACCAATCTTTTGCCCCTAGGGGGGGTGAGTACTTTGGCATTGCAACACCCACCTCGGTGTTTAAATCCCTGCACTGCCTACCTGTTGAGTTTTGTATAGACTAAGATAGTTCCTGACATCTGAAGTGATACTCTTCCACTTATTTCTGACATTGCAATAAATGACACTCTCAACATACAGAGTACAGGTGACGGAGCCTCCTACAGCTACCGAGGCTGTAGAATACCCCTCCTGGCATGCTGCTCATGGTCGCACTGTCAGATCCTGGCCCAGGGCCAGACTATCCTGTAATCCGACATCCTCCCAGCTCATCAAGAATGTGTCTTGTGCCTGGGCACCAGGTTCTGGTTTGATGCGTGTGGGCTGACAGGTAGGAGTCCGGGACCTAGAGAATGCGCAGATACAGAACAGCGACGGATCGAACGCTCACCTTCACAGGCCCGGCGGGGAGCCGGCTCTGCAGATCGCTGGCCCCCGGGGCCCCAGCCAGTCTCTGAGCCAGGAGAGACACCTGCTGCCTGGAGGAAGAGACAAACACATTAGCCACGGGGCTCGACCCCCGCACCGCTGACCCTGAAAACCTAGCATGCACTTCTCCCAGCACAGACCCCGGAAGGGAAGTGTTTCAGGACAGATCAGACGTCTACTGCCTGCGCTCCTGGTCTGACAAAGAGGGTGCAAAGGTGCTTCCATCTCTTGATCATTACTGTGTGAATGATCACTATTTTTGATCAGGATGGAACAGATCTTTTTTCTTTCTGAGCGCATGATGGGAATCCTAAAACAAGTTTAATGAAAAACACTGTTTCTGACATGACCATAATTAAATCACCAAAAGGGACGCATGACCATATTACACATGCATCACACAGAGACAACCAACACTTTAACAGTGGATTCATATTTTCTCCCACTCTGCTTCCCATCACAAAGACGGAGGTGAGACTAAAGGATTCCACGATGGCTTTTACTGGTATTGCCAAATCAAGACCCAAGAAGGCTCAAGGTCCAACTGCCTGGAATAATTCAGCTGGTAAGTGGCTCACGTTAAGAAGGACAAAGCCTCAGTATCCTTTAGTTCTCTGGCCAGGCTGGAGATCCCGGGATTTGATACTTTTGAACAAATGGCAGAGAGAATCGATCTATAACACAACATGCAGAGGTAGAAACTAAGAGGTCGGAAACGAGATCATTCTGCCCATTATACCAGCTCATTTAGGTGGCAGCAATACATAATCCAAAGATCTCATCCAGCTGGGCTGTGAAAGACATTGATACTGATGTCAGCATGGCTGGGTAACTTGTTCCAAAGAACCCTAAATGCTCCACCCTTAGTTTCCACTTGTGTGCACTGTTGAGTATGAAGGCCACTGGGCTGGCCTTCTCAGTGTCTTGAGCCATCAAAGAAGGCTTGAATTGGGCCCCTTCACTCCTGGTTTTCGTCCAAGATGAAAATGATTTATGTGTTCATGAGAGACACTCCCTTAAGGCCAGGAATTAACCTTGTTGCCCTCCCAATACAGGGGACAAGATAGCAAAAGTGATGTTTCTCAGTGAGAGAGGTGAGACAGAAGGCAGGAAAAGGAGTAACCTACCTGTTGATGCCCGGCGCCATGGCAATGTTGCCTTGTGCCATAACCCTCTTGATGCCCTTCAGAGCCACCATCTTTGCCTTGGCGATGGGGTCCATGATGTCATCTGCAGCAAACTTGTCCAGATCTGCAGAGGTGTTCAACACCACCAGTGACTCATTGGCTTGGCAAAGTCAGACAACACATTACCCCAGGAGACTCCCCCTTGGAATGCAACAGCATTTCTGTTGCCAGAGACAGACACTGCAGCTCTTCTACTCAACCCGTGCCTCAAAACGTGTAACTTTACTTCAGAGACCATGAAGACACATGCAATTAAGTCAAGAATTAACACAGAAACAAACAGAAGATCCCCCTCTACCTGTGTCTGGTAAGAAGCTGTTGGCCAGCTGTGGCTGCTTGACCATCTGCGGTTGCTGCTGCTGCTGCGGATTGACCGCATGGGGGTGCCCTCCTGGTTGGCCGGCTCCCATCATGCCTTGTGACTGGGCCATGGCGACATGTGATGGAGGGGGCATGGCAGCTCCCAGGAGCCTTTGCTGTTGCTGCTGCTGCTGCTGTTGGGGAGACATGATGTGTGGCGGCCTGGGCATCATGCCCGGCTGAAACTGCTGCCCCATCAGACCATGCGGAGGAGTGCGGTGGTGCTGTGACTGGAGTAGGACCTGTGGCTGGGCCTGGGGGGGCTGTGGCTGCTGCTGCTGCTGCGGTATGCTGTGCATGTGTGTGTTCATGGCCCCCTGGTGGAGGGAGTTGAGCTGCTGCTGTTGCTGTTGCTGTTTCTGGAGCTCTTTCTTCTCGTGCTCCAGCAGGTCCTGTATCAGCAGGGGGAGCTCACTGGCCTCCAAAGAGCTTTCAACTTTGTCCAGATCCACAGCAGGCGAGTGCTGCCCCCCACCATCCGGCAAGCCCAGGGGGTCCTCATCCAGGTCGGCATGAGGCAAGGGGGTTGCTGAGGTGAAGGAGAGTGGGTCAACCTGCCCCGGGAGAGAGTAAGACACCCCTCCTAACCGAACAGAGCTGAGAGAAGCAGCGGTGGCCACTGTATGCGGGGAAATGCCGTTTGAGGGCTTGGCTGCTGGAGTGCTACCTCCAAGAAGCCTGGACACCGCCTCTCCTACTTCATCTTTCACTACAGGGGGTACTGCAGGTTGTTGCTGCTGTTGGGGCTTCCCCTCGTAGCTGCAGGTGGGTGTCTGGGAGCCAGTATTGGACCCCAGCCCAGCCGGCAGCCCCCCGTCCTCCAGCTTGAGTACAGGCAGCTGGGGCTGGTCTGAAGGACTGCTTTCCTGTAACGAAGACGGGTCCAGCGACGCAGAGGGTAGAGGGGCTGCAGAGGGGGTGGGCAGAGAGGGAGCCGAGGCAGCGGATCCCATTAGAGGATCCTGACCCGGTAATATCGGACCTGGTTTTGGCTCCACTTTGACATCTGGGGTAGTGGCTGACAAGGAAGGGCCCGGCACCTCACTCTCGGCCTCCACCAGGCGCAGCTGGTCTGAAAAGGCATCCTTGGGGTCACCCTGGTCCAGCTCAGGGTCCGTGTAGGCCAGCAGGTCGAACTCATCACACTTCAGCAGATCATCAAGGTGCGGATCGGTGGTCTCCAGGCTGTCCAGGTTCCCCAGGTCGTCGTCACCCTTGTCAGGGTCCAGGTCCAAGGTGGCCAGGTCATCCACATCATCCTCACCCCCTTCTCCTCCCGTGCCCCCCAGGCCTTTGGAGACAAAGGCATCGTCCAAGTCAGGCTCCGGGAGGTCCAGGCGGCAGGGCCTGGGCACAGCTGGGTTGGAGGGGGTCACCTGAGGGACCCCCCCTGCCTCTGTTGGTGGGAGCTCAGGCTGAGTGTGGGTGTGCGGGTGGGGGCTGGGGCCGCTAGGCTGGTTAGGTATTTGAGCTTGCTGCTGGGGCTGGGGTGAAGGCACGGTGCTCTGCTGGGGCAGCATTAGGGAGAGGGCCCCAGGCTGCAGGCCCAGCCTGGACTCTCTGACTCCCTCTGCTGGTGGGACTAGAGAAGGAGGCGGGGGAGGGGGCAAAGTGGGCTGGGCGAAAGGGGTGCCCAGCTCCTGCGGTGGTCCGTAGAGGCGTGGCCGAGGTTGGGGAGGGGTACCCCGTGGCACAAACTGGGTCCCCAGGGGCAGTCTCTGGGCATTATGTCGCAGCTCTATGAACTGCTGGGCCACGGGAATGTGGGATCCCTGCATGGGCTCCCCGCCTGGGCCTGGCGCCAGCGCCCGCGGGTTGGGCAGGCCCTGGATGCCGCTCACGGGGATGTTGACGGGGTGTCTGGGGGCCCCCGTCTCCAAGCTGGATGGCTGGGGGAAGCGCCTGAGCCCCCCAGCCTGGCCTTGCCACTGAACCAGGAAGGGGCTTCGAGGGTAGAAGCCCTGGGAGGTGCTGGGCACCGGTTGCCTGTGAAAGATCAAGAGAAATAAAAATGAATGACTGCTCCCTGCGGGGAGCCGGTGACCAGGCTGTGGTCCGGTTTTTAAAACACCCTGCAGTCACCGGTTCTGCGGAAAGCAAAAGTGTTAACTAACACGCACCTGAGGGCGCTGGGGTCCAGCATGGCGGGGGTCCCGGGAGGTGGGGGCCGGCTCATCTTGTCGTCCAGCGACCCCAGGGGGGGTGCAAGCTTCCCCGTCATGGCCGATACTCCACCGGTCACCGCGGTTCTCTCCTTGAAGGGAGTCAGAGACAAGATGAGAAACTGCTGCGAACACGCAGGTTGTGTTCATACCCGAAGGCTTTATGGCATCGCCCAGTGTGTCAGCAAAGCGAATACTGCCAAGATCACATTCAGCTTCTGAAAGCAGCACGAGCTCATTTCAGACACGACACGTTCATTTATGCTGCCTTCACACACCAACATGGCTTCCTGCTGCAGACAGCTCAGTACCTGGATGGAGGGGTACGGGGGAGGGGCTCTCTGAGTCTTGTCTGGTTGGTAGACGGTTGCGTCCCCCGTCCAGCTGGTGGCGCCATTGCTGGCAGCTGCTGCCTCCTTCTCCTGCCGCAGGGAGTGTCTCTGCATCTGCTGGCGAATCAGCAGCTCCCTCAGTCGTTGTCTCTGCAGGGCCGAAGCGCACAGGTCAGGTTAGTCAGCCAGACAGGGGGGGGGGGGGCAACCGCCAGCTTACACCCCGCCTGCTCTCCGCGAGGGGAGGCCCGGCGCGCTCCTTTACCTGTCTGTGCTTCTCCAGCTCGGACTGGCTGAGGCCGACGAGCGACGGGTCCTGGCCCAGCGAGAGGTCGGGCAGCTCTTGGGGGTTGGACACGGCCGGGGCATCGTCCCTCCTCTCTGGTGGTCGACACATGGGGGCCTCCGGGGGCCGCGGGGTGAAGGTCTCGGGGGTGCCGGGGCCAGGCTGCAGCCGGGAGGGGAAGCCGCTGGCGTTCAGGGCCTGTGGGTGGGGCTGGGGCGGGACAGCGTCGCCGAACGGCATCCGCTGCTGGGACTGGGAGGCAGGGAACACGCCCATGTTCGGGCTGCGGCTGAAGGCGGGCGGGCCAGGGGGCTTGCCGGACAGGGGGTCCCCCACGGCCTGGGGAGGGGGAGGCTGACTAAGGTGGGGGGAGCCCCTGTAGCCCGCGTTGCCCTCGGCCGTAGCGGATGGCGGCCGGGGGGGCTTGTGCAAAGGGGCGAAAGGGTCACGGGACTGGGGTCGGGAGGGCGGCCGCGAGTACGGGTCGGGGGACTGGAAGCGGGGCGTAGCGGGGGAGTGGACCGAGAAGGCATCGTTGGAGAGGGCACCCGGCGTGAGCGGGGACTGGGAGCTGCTGCTGTGGGACTGGGGGCTGGCTGGCACGCGGGCGTAGGGCTCCTGCAGGGGCAGGGGGGGCCTCTGGGGCACCGGGGAGCAACCGTCCCCCGACTGGGGTCGGGGGGTGAGGGGCGGCTGGGCGTAGGGGTCCGAGAAGGGGGTGGAGGGGGACCGGCGGTAGCTCTCAGACGGATGGTTAGGTGACGCGCTGGGGTGCACAGGGGCGCCGGTGGGAAAACAGCCTTGAGGAGGGTTTGCAGCTTCCCCCTGGTGAGCTCGGGGTGTCAGGGGGGCTTTGAACAGTCCGGTCCCACCCTTTCCCTCCCCTGATTCAGGGAACCCCATGGCTGCAGGGGAGCCGGTCCCAAAATCCTGGCGCCCCGCGGACGAAGAGTGGGGCGAGGGAACACCCATTAAGTCAGTCCGCTGCAGCCCGAGCCCAGCTGGGGAAGATGAGGATGCTGAGGGGGAGCGGGAGGGGGTTCCCCCAAACTCCTGCCGCAGTGGTGCCTGTTGGTTTCTGAAGGGGTCCCCAAAGTGAGCAGGAGGGGGAGACATTAGAGGGGAATCCCCAGGACCACCTGGTCTGGACCTGGGGCTCTCTGGAGGAGCTAGGGGCTCCTGGGGAGTTTGCTGTAACTGTTGCTGGGGTCTCAGGAAGGGGTCTGTGGGCTGGGGCCTGCGAGGGGTGCCAGGGGTCCCCATCTGCGGGTCAAGAGAGCCCAGGCTGGGAGGCCGGACCTGGGGGGCTCCCTGAGGACCAGCAGGAGGGAACCCGGAAGAGGGGGCCACCTGCAGGGGACTGGAAGCAGGCTGGGAGTAGGGGGTAGAGGGGTTGCTGTAAGGGTGGGGGTGGGAGTGGGGAGACTGGTGGGGCAGTTTGGCAAATGGATCGCCCCGGGAGTCACCAGAGCTCGGCGTCTTGAGGGGCCCCTCAGCAGGGAAGAAAGCCGAGCCAGGATCCGGGGGAAAGGGGAAGGGGCTCTCTGCAGAGCTGGGCTGGGACGGCGTGGACAGAGAGGCCGATGGGGGAGGCGGGATCTGGAGGTGGAGGTTGGGACGCTCCCCTTTGCGCCCCTCCATCTTCACTGGGCGACAGACCTGGCTCTCTGCCTGCTGTTGGGGAGAAGGGGGTAGAGGAACCGGGAACATCCATTAGCCAAACAATACCAACTGAGCTCTGCTCTCCTGAAACCAGACTCTTCAACCAACACCCCAATAATCAATTACGTTCCTCTAAAACCTATAAGGCCCTGTCAACCATCTAACAACAATTTACACAGTGAATTAACCTTGTGAAGCCTGGCATGGCAGAGCAGATCTAGTTTTACTGTGTCAATTTGGCACAATCTGCAAGAGCATAAAAGGTTAGCCAGATGGAGTCTATAAGGATCTGAAGTTTCCACAGCCCAAACCTATCCCATTCCTTCAGCTGGGGTTGGGATGAGGATGATGGTGTGTGGGAACTAAACTGGACAGGTCCACAGGTTTCCAGCAGGAGTGAAGTTTGGGGATTGTTCTGGCCAGGAAAAGTGATGGGAGTCTATCTCCTGCTCCTCCAGGCACACTAACACAAACTGCCCCCTACTGGAAAAGACTGTTCTACGGAACACAGGAGGTCCCAATATTTTGGCCAGTGGGCAATTAAGATCTCTGAACTGTGTGCAGGATCATACTCATTTTCTGCTCTGTCCTTCCCTCTCTCAAGACTGAAGTACAAGTGTACAGAGTGCGAGAAGACCACTTTCCTAGATGGGTCATGCATCACCTCCATCTCCAACAGAGATTCTTCATTTAATCAGGGTAGGTGGATGATCCCAATACAAAAGCCAGCAAGTGGTAAACACTTCACACTCAGCTCTATCTGTCCAAGACCAATGAGTTCCACATTGCTGAAAATTCATTCACGAGACTTTGACGCCTGTCTGTCCAGAACTGGCTGCGCTCCTTCAGCCGATAGTTGACGAGTTCTGCGTTTCTATAAAGAGCTCCCCTTGCCGCAAGGTACTTACCTTCTGTGCCTTGTTTATGCGCTGTGCAGCTCTGTTGTCTTTGGCCTTTTGCTAAATAAAGAAAAAAGGCATATTACATTTGCCTGCTTTATTCAGAATATCAAAGTAAAACATTCTGAGCATTTTCTTCAAGCACTCCAAAGGGTTAGCGTCTCACCCAGCAATCATGTTGTGATACTGCTAGAACAGTGTCACTGCCAGACTCACTCAGTCACTCGGTGATCACGATACAATACCGGCCAGTTCTCTGTGACAGCACACTCACCAAGTAGGGAACCTTATCTGCTGCAGAAACTTTCCTCCAGATCTTCATAATTTGTTTACACCGACTTGACCAGTCTGTGACAAGAGTGAGCAGAAGTTTGATTATTTCCATTAAAAAACAACAAAATACAATATATCAATACTAACTGCAACCACCAGCCATGACGGGGGTCAGATTTGACAATTCTACCCTCAGGAAATGTCAGAGATCACATTTCCCATATGCATTCCAGAATAACCATGATCCAATGTGCATTCTGTTAAAATAATTTATACAAAGGTTTTTAAACAAATTAAAACATTTTTGAAAGGTCATGAGCAAACTCATTTTTCAGAAAACACCACAGAACACTACAGAATAACAATGAGGATTTTTAGAGCAAACATGGCTTCCAGGGCTTTGTAATAATCATGACCTTATGTGAGCTCTGTATGTCTATGTTAGCTAGATAACATTCATTAGAAAAGTGTTCCCTAGTCATCATGACCTCACCTACAGTCTTTATTGTAGCAGGAAGCCAATTTTGTCATTTGACCAGAAACGGGTCAAAGCTTGGATATGGCCGATACAATCATGCAAACAATCAGCTGTGCACTAGGATTTCCATGGTTCACCATTTCTCCATGTTTTCACTGGCCTAGAACATTCCAAAGCAGATAGTGACTTGAAAAAGTATTCAGTCCTTCCCATGATATCCCATTTTGTGAAATTACACACACTTTTTATAACCTTATTATTTCATTCAAAACCTGAGCGCTTAAACTGAAGGCTTCTAAGGTTAAGAGAAAGTGCAGTAAATTAGCAAAAACTAATAGAACCAAATGAAATGTTGATTGTACAGGTATTAAGACCAGGGAACTCTATTTGGCAGCCATTAAAGCCCAGGTGTCTTAGGATACCAACCCTGGACACCAGCATAGTACAGCTTTTGCCCTTTCTCCTAGGTAGATTTGCTCAAGATCTCTAAAGGTGCTTGGGAATCACTGGAGGGCAAGTCATTTTTAAGTCTTTCTACAAATTCTCAATAGAATTCAAGCCAAGACTTCGACTGGGCCACTCGGGGACTTTCACTTTCCTGTTCTCAAGCCACTACCGTATAGATCCAGCCTTGTGCTTTGGATCATTATCTTACCGAAAGCTAGCCTTTTCACTCCAGTTGGAAGCTTTAGGTAGACGGGTACAGGTTTTCCTCTAGTATTTCCTGTACCTTCCTCTGTCCATTTTCCTTCAGTGCTTAAAAACTTTCCAGTCCCTGTCAAGGGGTCACTCTCCCACAGTATGACACAGCTCCCAGCATGCTTGACTGAAGTGATGTGTCGACTGGGTAATGCACAGTGCTGGTTTTGTGCTTGTAATACAATGCTTTGCCGTTATACCCAAAGTGTAAATTTTGTACCACCTGACCTCAAAACCTTTATCCACATGCCTTCTGTATCAATTAAATGCTGTGGAATTTGTACTGGGTTTATGTAATGGCCCAGCTTTGTGGCATGACCAAGATATTTGTTGACTTATGCACATTTTCTACCATCTCAGTCAAACTCCGTCTCTCCACGGCATCCTTAACCACCTTCCACCATGCTCAACAGCTCAGTTTGGAGGGACGTCCTCATCTAGCAGTATCTGGGTGGTACGATCCACCTTTCTTTTCATGAAGACTGGAGAGTTTCTGCTCAGAGATTGAGGTAGTACCCATTCTCCCGATTTGAGCTCCAATGTCCTTAGGACATTCCCTGAAAGCTCTTTAGTCTTCCTGAGCGAATCTCTGCTCCCTACCTGACCAAGGAACCTCGTGGGAGACAGATGTGGTTTTCTCATGATTTCAGAATAAACAACTATTGCACAGAGACAGAGGCTACTTAACTGTGTGGCTTCTTATTGCCATTTTGTTAAATTCATTTAGGTTTACCATAGCAAATGGTTTGAATACTGATGCAACCATGGCTTGTACATTTCTTTCATATTAACTGTATGCTTTCTTCTCTACCTTTAAATGTGGTGCACATCTGTATTGTGCATCTAACAAATATTGCTATTCCAACACGTCATGACAGTAAGCTTTAAAGCAAGAAGAGGTAAAAACCATGCAGGGGACTGAATACTTCTGCAAGGCACTGCATACTTCGCAATATTTAAATAAATGCATTTTCAGGACACGTGACAGCTGACTGGTTCATTGTGGTCATGTGCAACAATCCTGAGAGAGAATGTGCCGTAGTCTATGATGTACCGAAAGATTTACTGACAAACGGAGTGTGGAGGCCAAACCCGGTGACTAATCCTCTTGCCTCAGTAAGACTTGGACACAGGGGTAACACTGTGCACCCAGTTTCAGATCCCCCAATATATCTAACAAACTGTGACCTTTCCACATCATTGTGATAGTGACCTCACAGGTCTTTACAGTTTTGGGAAATTTCATTAACTTAAATTTAATCATTTGAAAATTCCACATAATAAAAACCAATAGTCAACAGGGCTCCAGAACACACAATGCTTCTACAACAATTGTCAGGAAAGCTACACATTACTTGAATTTCAACTAACTACTTAAATCAATTATGATGCATTATGGGGTTTCCTTCTCAGGTGACACTAACATGGGACTCACTGACCTGGGTATTCCTGCTTGAGGCTGGGGAAGTTGAGGTTGGCGTACAGTACAGGCGAGATGGTGGACATCTCCCCCAGCTCCTCATCCTTCTCCCAGCGCTGGAGGCTGCGCTGGTTGTACGACAGGCCGTCACTCTCCTGCTCAGTTGGTGTGGGCGGAGTGGAGGGTGTGGAGGGCGTCGCCCAAGGGCTGTCGGTGTCCATCTGGTCTGGGCTGAACAGGCCCGCCCGATCGCTGGAGCGAGAAAGAGGCAGTGGGAATGATAAACACAAGAGTGCCAAGGATTCAATATAAGATGCGTGGACACACAGGTCAGAGAGAGAAAGTCTGTTGAGGACAGTGAGACAGACACACTGAAGTCTGTCTTAGGACAAAAGAGATTAGAATAAAATCACTAGCAGAGGGTTTTCCAGGGATAAACTGGTCTGGATAAAGCAACCAGATCAATTTAACTCAGGATCCTCAAGGGCTTTAACTGCCATTTCTCGTTTCATTCTGATCCAGAACTCTAGCGGATCAGACCATGTGTGCCTCTCAAGGAGGTGGCATCGATCAGGATCAAATGCCACACGAGGTACCCATGCACCTGACCATGGCAATCGCCAATATGCAGAATGGTCCTGCAACACCTCCCTACTTTGTTCTAAACTTTAGAGTGCAACATCAAAAAAGGAGACAACCCTTTAACTTCATTTAACTGCATGTTGGAAAAAGCACTCGTCTTTCGTGTTGTACTCATCAGCAGTGCGATAGTGTAATCATGCGAGATCCCGCACCCACAGGGGAGACTCGGAGCTGATCCAAATGGAGTAACATGGAAATGCAGCATCACTTATCAGGATCAGAGTTGATCAGCATTTGATCCTGACCAGCAATGGCTGTGGACATGCGCCTTTCACAACAGTGGCACCCATAAGACCACCTAGACTCTGGTACCCAGGACTGGATTCAGGAGCCACTAGGTCTAGTGTGCTAACACCTGGATAAAATCAGCGGTTTTTGGAAAGAGCAGAGGGAATACCACCTCGGAAAAGAGAAAATCTTACCGGCTGTCAAAGAAGGGAGACTGGGAAAGTGCAGGGAAGGAGTCCATCATTGCAGCCGAAGGAAGAGACCCGGATATGGACCCTGCTGTAGGGAGAGAGCATAGACACGGTGACCATGTGCCCAGTGGCCCATCAGTAACAGCAAATAAACACCAGAAGCTCCAGGGTAGTCCACACCCTGCTCCCCCTTCCCACATGCGCACCCAATACCCCTCTGGGAACCTTCTCATCCCTCTCTGTGCCTTTAACGAAGATCAAAACCTGCTGGCCTTTCTAAGCATTTGATCCTGTTTGGCCAGGGACACATTACAAACCAGCAATAACAGCGCCTCTGTGCAGTCGGTTTGGTATTTTGGATTCATAACCTTGTGATGTTTTGTCTCACCATAAGAACTTTTAAACCTCTCAACACCTCATGAAGCATCTACCAATCTAACCCGCTATCAGTGTAAACAACCCACCCTTGCCAATTGTTTAACTCTTTGGCAGAGGAATCAGCTTGCAGGGCGCCCATTCCTCTCCTAAGCTGGTGTGAATAATATTTAGCTCTCCCTGTCTCTGAAGTGGCTCTGCGCTGCCCTCTAGACCCCAAGCGTTCATTCTCCATTCACACCTGGCAGGAATGCCCGCTGCTGCAGGGCACCGGGATTGAGCTCCCCCTGTCCTGCATCCAGCATGGGCCTCATGGGTGCCTGCAGGGTCCCGCCAAGCGCGGCGCCATCTGACACCCCCAGGACTTTCCTGAAGAACTGCTCCGAATCCTGACTCTCAACACCCTGCGGCAGGCCTGGAAATAGATATAAGAGAGAATGGTGTAAAGACCTTGATCCGCCTTGATTCATTTTCTAGGAGAACTCCTGGCTTAATATCCGGTTCTTCAAGTCCAATAAATGGGCAAAAACCTACAGATGAACTTAGTGGGTGAACATATTTCATAGCAATCCTACCTTCTGACATCTTGTCTGCGCCAGAGCCTGCAGCACCCCCTGGTGTTGTGGATGTGCTGTCCTTGGGTGTAGAAGGCTGCTGGGCACCAGTTGCCCCAGTACTGGCTGCATGAGAGAGACACCCCAAACCAATTACACATTTGATGATGGTTAAGACAACCAGTGACACAGCAGTTAATTAACTCGTTTATGACAAAGGCACCAATAAGGCTGAAGAAACTCAAGTGCCCTCCAGATGTAGTTAAACCATTGATGAAGGAGAACAAAAAAACATGTAACAGAACTAGTTAAGTCTTGCTTATCTACAAAAATAGTATAGAACAATATCAACAATGGACAGAGTAAAGTCATTTTCGTCAATGTAGTTCCAAAACACACCAGGGTCACATTTATTCACACCACTTAACATTTTTTAAACGAAATCCAATAAAAATGCTTAGCAAGTGTCCTCAGACCTGTATGTTGGCCCGTGAAGGTCAGCATTTTGTGGATTCGAAAATAACCCACAAAAAGCTGAAACTGAATTATTTTGTACTGTAGTGTCCATTCATAGGAAATGTAAGGCTAGTACTGTGGTGGCCACCCTGTGAGGAAGAGGAGAAGTTTGTCTGGCCACCAGGAGCTGTGAGACAAGAGATTCACAAAGCTGTAAATCCAAAGACAACAGCAGGTCAACATAAACCAACACTGCAAGAATGCACAGTGTCAAAAACTGCCATTCCGCATCCCCTGCACAAAGGTGGCTGGGTAGCAAGGAAGAAGCATCTACCAAGAACGAACCATAAAAAAGGAAACTTGAATTCACCAGAGTACATCCGAAGGACAACTGGAACCATGTCTTACGGTCCAATTAAATAAAAAATGATCTCTCTGGACATGGTCGTCAGGAATACTGTTGGCACAATAAATGTTGAGAAAACCCTCCCACCCACTATGAAATAATGTAGGGGGTCTGTTATTGGGAGGTTGTGGACTAAAGGATCTAGAGGCTTCTGAACAGACATTTGACTGCCTCTGCCAAGAAGCTCAAGCTTGGCTGAAAAGAGACCTTCCAGCACAACAATGACCCAATGCCCAAAGGAACGGTTTAACTGCACACACAACAAACATATCTGACTGGTCCTCAGATCCAATCAAGCACACGTCAAACGCAAGGAGGTCATTCACAAACGGAAAGCAAGGGTCCTGTATGGCAGAGGGAGTACAGGTCTAAAAAAGTCCCTCTTCAGAAAAGCCAGAACTTCACAGCACAGGACAGGAGGCATCTGGTGACCCTCACCACTTTTCAGCAGGAAAGATTAGCCAATCTGTAAGCTTGTCACATTTTGTTATATGAGGTTTTCTGCTCCTATTTCATCACTAGCATGAACACATCTGAAGGGCACTGTAAGTTGTCCTTATTTCAGCCTTCGTGTGGGCTTTACTGAAAACAATCCTTTTTTCTACAGGATCATTTCTGGACTAACAATGCTCCCTGGCTGACAAGGATTCATATAGAGCCAAATTTCTCATGTAAAAACAAGGCCCATGAAAATATAAAGTTTACAAGCAAGAGGAGGCCCTTTATACCTTGCTTAGTTTTCTAGTAGTTAACTGATCAGAGGTGCTCATTCAGCTTCAGCAACATGGCTGAGCAGTTTGTCTCAAGAGTCCCACTCCCCTTGGGTAAAGCAGTGCCTCTTGTTGATCTGAGTGGTTAAATTGCAGAACGGATAAAAGGAGGCACTTCTGCACACAGAGGAGCAGTGAGGACAAATTCAGGCTGAAGATTTCCGAGCTCCCAGGACACCAACAGAGAGTGGGTTGTCCAGCTGTCACTCCTCAGGGGTGACAGCACCTGGCGTAAGAACCCACCTGCTCCATCTCCCCGAGCCTCGGACCCCAGACCTTCCTCCGTCTTCAGCTGCTCCGAGTCTTCCTTTGCTCCCTCCGTCTCCTCACCTGCACAGGGACAAGGAGACAGAACCAGCAGGTCAGGGCAGCTCTCTCAAAACGAGACTGTGGGTCCAGCACTCAAATGAGCAGGTCCGAGAGTAGGAAACGCTTCTATACGCAAAGAGCTCTGGATGTCAGGTACAGAGACACAAACTCTGGATGCATCCAGGAGAAGGCTGGATGGAATGTAACTTCACTAACGACGCAGGTACGAAGGGCCAAACATCGTAGTTCTTGACCCACAGCTGACTATGAAAGCCATACGTCACCGTACAGACATTACGTTTCCTTGGCCAAAGGAAATATGATCGGGATTCACCCCTTTTCTTCTCCTCTCCTTTTCTGGCTTTGCGTTTAAATTGACAACCAGAACTGTTTCTGATACACAACAATGATAATAATAATAATAAACTTTATTTTATATAGCGCCTTTAAAGGTGGCTTCTCAAAGCGCTTTACAGGATGACAATAACAATAAATAAGAAGACTACAACAATAAATAAGAAAATTTCACAAGACAGGACACAATTATAATTACAACAATAACAATAGAGGAGACCGTGGAAGATGGTATTAAGAAGAGCAGAGGGGTGAAGAATGGAAGCAGTTAAGTAAAGGCTTTTCTGAAAAGGAGGGTTTTGAGTCTGGATTTGAAGGAGTTTAGAGAAGGTGACTCTCTAATATCCTTGGGCAAGGAGTTCCAGAGCTTGGGGGCATAGCAGGAGAAGGCCCTGTCGCCCATACAATGTAGACGGGCTTGGGGGACAGTAAGGAGGGCAGAATTTGAAGAGCGGAGGTTGCGAGGTGGGGAGTAGGGCGATAAAAGTTCAGACAGGTATTGAGGTGCCAAGCCATGTAAAGCCTTGTAGGTGAGCATGAGGATTTTAAAGTCTACGCGGAATTTGACCGGAAGCCAGTGCAAGGACTCCAGGATAGGAGTAATGTGAACATTTGCACTAGATCTGGTCAGGATTCTGGCTGCTGAATTTTGGACATACTGCAGCTTGTTCAGAGTAGATTTAGATACCCCAGGGAGCAGAGCATTGCAGTAGTCAATTCGAGAGAATACAAATATGTTGATCAGCTGCTACTTTTTGATGATACTTTTTAATAGGTTTTCTGAACCCCCCACTTCATTATATCATAGGTCTGTTAAGACAAGTAAGACTTGGATTGTTGTTAAAGTACTGGACAATCTAACAGTACCACCCCCTCCCAGAAAGTTAACATCTGTAGTGTCATCTGCGTTTTTTGGCAGAAGAAAAAAGGAGCCACACAAATTCCTTCAATCAGAGAGCAGGACAGGAGGATAGGCCAGCCTGCAGAATGACAAAGTGGTCAAGACACTGCAGCTCTTGCTTGGCCTGATGGGCATTTTCTGTGCCAGCGGGTGTTGAAAGGTGCTCATCCTGGGTCCTGTTTGAGCAGTGCCTCGTCTCCTCACCTGGCTCGGGGACGGTCTCTCTCTCTCCGGGGCCCAGGGCGGAAGGGGCAGCCGAGAGTGCTGTGGGGTCCTGGGAAGGAGGCAGCTGTTTGAGGGGAGCCTGGGACGCCCGCTGGGCACCGCTTCCTTCCCTCTGCCCAGCCGTAGGCAGGATGGCTTTTCGACTCAAATCCAGCAGCATCTTCCCGAAAAAGGCCTCCTGCACAGCAGGCAAGGAGAAGAGGAGAGTGTTACCAAGGTCAAGAGGTGCCCCTGAACAGCGATGTGACGATGGGGAATAGCCCCTTGAGAGTATGCATCACCGTCACTACTACAGAAAAATCTGAAAATGAAATACTAGTATGTCAAGCCGAAAACCCCAGGTGCATTGGCTGACTGAAAAACAAGGTTGAGCACTTCCTGCATTCCACTGTCCCACCGGAGATGGTACCCAAGTCCCGCATCAGGGTACGGCAGCGGCTGCAGTGTGCTCCCCCAGCAGGCGGGGCCAGGAGAAAAAGGACACCCCTCTGTGGTGGGGCATGTACCTGTAGATACGCAGGGAACATGTCCTCCAGCTTGCTCTTCTTCCTGCCCCTGCGCTTCTTCGCCTGCTCTCCCTCGGGCTCCGCTGCCTTCAAGTCCGGAGGGCCATCCACTGGGGTATCAGGGGGGCCTGCTGCACACAGAGAGCACAGACAGTCACTGACCCTCATCTGGGCCACCAGGGGAAACCAGGCACAGGCAAAGAAACAAGGCCAACCCCCAGAGCTTGCTTGACTTCAAGGTCTTTCCAGGTATTACCATCCTAACTAGGTCAAAGATCAGCAGGATGTAACTACACACAACAGGCATGTGGGAAATAGATGACATGAGGGACGACCGTCCAGAAGCAATCTGGCAAAGCAGCACACAAGTGGAGGCTGTGTGGGGAACCCAGACCCTCAAAGGGTTGGACAGTGGGGCTGTCGGCAGGGTAGAAACGGCTGGTACTTGCCTTCGTCGGCCGTCTTCTCTGTGATCGGCCCATCAGCGGTGGTCTCTCCAGCCAGCGGAAGCACCAGTCCCTTCTTCATGCGCGTGTGGGACTTCCTCTGGCGCACCATGAAGCCGCCGATGCCTGGGGAACAGAGGAGACGGGCATTACAGACCGGAGTATTGGAAATTAACCAAAGCCATGGAGAAACAGCCCTGCTGGTCTGTAAGGCTCCTACCTGGTCTGTAAGGTTTCCTTTTTCTCTTCTTTCCCTCTTCCGTCTCCTCCACTCCTCCCTTCATCCCCTCTCCCTCCGCACAGCCGTCGGCGCACCCCTCAGGGCCCGTCTCTCTCTCGGGCCCCCCCTCGCGGTCAGGGCTCCCCGGGGCCTCCAGCTTGGGCTCGCAGTCCATGGATTCCCCGGCCCCTGCAGGCACCGAGAGACAAAGGGCTGAGACATGGGGGTGGCCAGCTATGTTCCCTCTGATTGTGTTTCCTGCCGAGCGCATGACTTAACCTGAGCAGCGTAAAAAAGCTGTAGTGTGGGATGCACAGGGCTTCAAACGGTGCAAATGTGAGAACTCGGTGATCGGCCGTAAAATCGGTGATCGGCATAATGACATGCACTGCTGTTGCCGACTTTGTGAAAGTCTGCAATAGTTTGCCAGCTATACTAAAGGAAGTACCTACAATCCGTAGTTTTAGGAGAAGTTTTCAAGTACTACTGAGTTGACCGATTATTGTAAAAGCGTGTTATTTAACGACTCCCATGAAGGCCTATTTGTTTAGCCACATTATCTGAATTTTTGACTGATTGTTTGCTGTTCAGTAATGTCATTAACCATGAACCGCACCTCCCGAATGATAAACTTATGAAGTTCTTAAAGATTTCATGTACGATGTGCAAATGTTTATTTTTTGATATTTCATTTGATCTTTGTTCAACAGTTGATTGATGTCAATTGCAATATACTGCTTACTTATGCACTGAGTATTGAGCACAGTACTGCAAAGTTTTACAACGGACTTTTTTACTCACAACACTGCAACTATAATGCAAATCATGCATTGCGTATCTTTAAGTTAAACAGTCCAGTCATCACTATAAAAAATAGCAAGTCAGTATGTCACTGAAAATTATAGCCTTCACTTCTATCCTACCAACTGAAGTTCAAATCTAACTCGTGCTGTACACAACCATATTGTTCAGTTATCATTTCTGGCGTCTTTCAATGACAACCATCGCGTGTACACCTTGTCGAGATTAATATTCTTTAATTAATGTTAATGTCCATTGTTTTGGTATGATTTAATTCTCATGTGCATGTCTAAATGTAACTCTTCCAGCTGGTTTTATAATGTTCATCAGACTGAATCCCTGTTTGCAATCTGCGCTTGATGCAAGAAAGGTGGCGCTGCTACCCAGAAGTGCCAGGTCACTGAATTGACGTGGTTCAATTTGCATTGAATGACGAACATGGCAAGTCTCCATCAAACCACATTTCACCTTTTCTGCAATCACACACCTGAAGTCACGGTATAGATCCATAGCTTTCTTATAAACCTCATCCGAATTGTTAAAGAACGCTGCGTATCTGGAAACAAGCGCCACAAGTTCTTCACGACCAAAGTCAAAATCTGACGTGTTGATTAAGGCTGACATCTCGGAGAATTTGTGTTCCTTCCCTCCGACTGTGCTGCACGGGAGTTTAAAAGAGGCGTGCAGCTGCGCAGCTCAGAGGGAGCAGTGGTGACCAGGACTGAAAAGACTGGAGCTCCGAAATTTTCCTGGGACTCAGAAAGCCGCTGCTTTCAACTACCACCCGCCTGTTTAAATCGGAATAAAGACACGGGAAAACTGAAACGTAATGAAGAGAGAAGCAAGACTACAAAAGTTCCTAAAGGTGGCCATGCCTGCAGGTTCTCACTGCACCCATGCTCTGACCTGACTGAGCTCTTTTTTTCTGAAACCAGACCACCTCTCTCCAGTACTGCAAGTGCTGGAGATACATTGAGCCCTAAAACGCTTGCTGGATTGAGGCCCTCAAGGACTGGAGCTTGACATGAATCCCCCAATCGATGGCATGGCGACTCAAAACGGCCAAGTAAATTACATCATCTGGCTCTTACAGAAGAGAGAACGGGACACTGGGAGCAATCGGGCTGTGGCAAGGTTGGCAAGATCTTCTCACCTTTGACCTCGTCCCCTTCCCCGTCCCCTTCCTTCAGCTCCAGCCCGTCCGGCCCCGCCTCCCCACACAGCACCCCCATACGGGAGCGGCGCTGGCGCCTCTTGTGCAGCGGAGACATGGAGATGCTGCGCAGCAGGGACATCCCGGTCTCCGTCAGCCACACCCCCTCCAGTCGGTAAAACTGCGGCTCTGGGGAGACAGGTCAAGCACAGCCAGGGGTGAATCCCACTTCCTGCCTTCCACGAGACTAGCTCAGCTAGCAGCCGAGCCTGGAAGACAACACTGCCATACAAACTGAACATATTTAGTTAAAATATTTTTAGATTTATTATTCATTTTGGGATTAGATTGTAAAGAACAAAAATGTAGTTTTCGGATGCTGATATGTTCAGTTCAGCAATCCATCCACCTTCTAAGCGCTTTATCCAATCCAGGGTTGCTGAAGAGACGGACTCTATCCTGGTAAGCAATGGGCACAAGGTAGGATACACTTGGACGGGACGCCTGTCCGTCACGGGGCACACAGACGGAAATAGACACACATTAGGGCCGGATTTCCCAGAAGCCAATTAATCAGCATGGTTTTGGACTGTGGGAGGAAATCGGGGCATCTGAGAACCTGTCTCTCACGACCCATCTAGTTAAGATCGTGCACAAAAACCCTCTTTAAAAAAAATGGTCTTCTTTGTTTAACAGGTAGAAGATCCTACTTTGCTGGGGTCTGGGGGGCTGCCTTTAAAGAGGATTCAAACTGACTTTTTCATTCAAAGAGGGTTTCCGGATATTTGATGCTCCTGGAATTAAGAACTGGGATCTTCAATGTGAAGTTACTCGGCAAACTGGGAGGCTGGTTAAACTGTGTTACAGAATGACATTCCAGTCTGGTTTAGCATGCTATATATTACAAGCTGCCATCTGCTCATTTTGGGACACTGAACAAAACTTACCTGAACCTCAACGAAACTGCAGATGTAAATATTCTGACATATTCCCCTTTCCTGGCATTTCCCACACAACTACACTGTTCTGTCCATCCCAAGTACACAGTGAGGTCCATCAATGTTACCAAACATTTGTTGGTGTCACTCATTGTTGATCCCCTTCAGGACCAATAAAGTCTTATCTTAGCAATAGCTATACAACCAATTGTCTCCTAAGGAGATCTGCTTCTCCCGATTGGCATACGATCATGATTTCAATGGCTGTGCAGAAGAAAGGCCAAGACCAGCCTTGGCTGCAGTTTCCTCCAGGCCAGAACCCTTGAGACTTTTTTTTAGTTGGGGCCCAATAAAGGCAAACTGTACAGGAACAACATCAGACAGCATTTGGAAAGGACTTGGCTGAAATGTCGCAGAAACTCACAGCAAGACTGGCACAGCCTCCCCATAATGAAGGGCAAGATCTCAGGAATGTTTCTTCACAGAAAAAAATACTGCTCAAATTCATTTTTCTGGGGCTCCTCTGGACACCAGACCTATCCCATTTACTCCATTTAATCAGTGAAGACCTCAGAGCTCCAACTGGGAAAACCCCTTATTTGCTCAACTGCAGATGTCCATCTTTTAATTTAGGACCAAATATGTTGTACAAAATTGCATCTTTACGGGGCAAATGCTGGTGCATGGGATACCTAGACTGAATCAGAGAGGAGGCTGAAACCCAGCTGTGCAGCTGAGGGCATCTCTATTAATAATTCTCTTCAAAACATTAGCCTCAGCTGTCTCATAACTAAAGCTGTCAGTGTACACAATTTGACAGCCAGTGATTTGCCTGATAAAGGAAAGGGTTATTAAAACACTTATTAAAGCAGAGTAAGACGCCATACGGACAGCAACAATACTGCAATAAAGACGAACGCAAAAAAGAAAGCGCATTCACAAACTACACACAAGCTTAAAGGCGCAGATTAAAAGAAAAAATGTGTACCTGGTTCTTTCACCTTCACAGGTGTCACCACTGGAGTCTCCATGACCACTGCAAACACAAACACGTGTCAGCTCAAACAGGGCTCAGCAGGAACACGCACCAGATGCCTGGCACAGCTGATTCTGAGCTGCAGGAACATGCGCTTGAGAGGGATCTGAGTGTATACAGATCATGGATATCTAATCCGGGAGAGCACCTATTGCTGAAATATGAAAGAGGCAATTTAGAGGGACCTTTAAGAATAGCTGGACACAGATACTTAAGATGAACAACCGGAAGATTTTCTTTGACAAGAGCCGGCACACAGACCTCCTAAAAGCACAGCAAACCTCTAAGTGCACGGCCATGGTCTGTACAGCACGCGGCGCCAGCTTACCGACGGGCTTGGGGACGTAGGGCGAGCAGGCCGTACAGGTGAAGCCCTCGTCCGATGCCTGCTCCACCTCGTCTTCGGTGTACAGACTCTCGCACACCGCGTGCATCCACCTGCGGACAGAAAGGACAGACGCTCAGGGCTGCCTTCCGCTCCTCATTTTAAACGGGTTGATTTGCTCCCTTCTGTCCTGACTGGAAAGTTCTGCCTTGACAGCCTGAAAAGTCGCAGTGTTTGGAGCTGTACACCTCTTGGCCCCCAAAATAGCAGGTCCTCCCAGGTCTCCCATGTCCGCGTCCAGCCCTGCGGCGCCGGTGCCTCAGGTGCGCCCTCACCTGTCGCAGTGCTGACACTGCAGCAGCAGCTCCTCCTCCATGAAGTTCTCGCGGCACACGGGGCAGGTCACCAGGCTGGCGCAGGGGGCGCAGTGCGTGTAGTTGTTCTGCCACTCGCAGTGGAAGCCGGGAGAGCTGGCGCCGCACTGCATGCAGCACACACACCTGCGGCGAGAGAGGAGAGCCATCACGGCACAGCACACAAAGCGGCGGGCAGAGAGGTGAGCGCAGTTGTGCATGCAGCGCACACCTGCAGGAACAGAAACAGGCACCAGAGCCCTTCTACAGACGGCACGCACACCCGCTAAAAGAGACCAAGGCACTACAGTGCTACAGAAAGCACAAGGCTCACAACTGAAAGAGGGGGAGTGCCATTTCTGTCCAGCCACACACCGCCAGAAGACACGACTGACCAGTGAGGACAGGACAACAGAGGGCACAGACTTAAAGACTGCAATGTGTCAAAGGCTCAAGGAATGTCAGCTATGACTCTTTCACCAAGCCCAGCACACAGTGCCCAGGGTCTCTACTACACAACCTGGGTCACAAGCGCTCCCTTTAAGCGTTTAAAACATGGAGCCTTTAACTAAATGGCAATGGAGAAAAACGTGAAGGAGGGGCAGATGGCTCCGTTTCCCAGCGCATCAGAGCACTGCGGGCGAGTCATCCGAGGGCTGATTGGAAGGCATGGGAAGGATATACTCGCCATTTGCACTTCCAGCCCCCCTTGGGCACGGTGTGCAGGGGGGGGTCCAGGCAGTAGGTGTGGTAGCTGACGTCGCAGTCGTCACACAGCAGCAGGCGGGCCGGGTCACTGGCCTTCCCGCACACCTCACACACGATGCACTCCAGGCAGCGCCAGCCCTTCACCAGCATGACCTTCGTGATCTGGGGGCCGGAGAGAGGACAAGAGTTAGAAGAGGGGGAGAGGGCAGAGGTCATGCATTTGGACCCCGCAGCAGAGCGGGCAGGGGCTCACCTTGCTGTTGACGCAGTAGGGATGGTAACACTGGGCGCACTGGGCGCAGGCCAGCAGCTGCCCCTCCACGCCCAGTCCGAAGCTGCCACACACCACGCACATGTCCTGCGAGAAAGAGGACAAGCCTCAGCTGTGGGTTCGAGGGCACTTAACACTGGAGCGTTCCAGAGAGCAGACACGTGGCCTGCAGCTCCACCTGGGCTTCAAGACAGCATATTTAATATTGAATATAACTCATAAGCACTCACTTGGATTCTTCCTGAACCAGATCGCAGCCTCCACCCCACCCACCCCGACAAAACCACTTTAACAACTTAACCAGGCTTGTTTCACAGACCTCTATCATGTCCACTTGCCAGCTCTTTACTTCATCTGTGTCTTAAACCTGTTCTCTGTGAGGTTTTAGTACACCCACAAACAATCTTGCTGGGATTCAGAAGTGACGAACACTGTGATCATTGTGACCTGCAATAACTGAAGAAAGACTAGGGAAAGGCTGGAAACGGCTTGATCCTCAAACGCCCACTGGATGTGGGAAACACTCCCAGCAGCACCACTGGACCATTCAAGAGACCGGAGCCTGGTACAGCAGGAACGACAAGGCTCAACCCTCTCTTGAATGCTGCGCGAGAAACCTAAGGGTGGCCCAGACTAAGTGGTACCGCAGCAGGTTCAACACCAGTGCGCCAAGGCTGCCGTCGTGAGAAAAGGTCCTACCTGCAGCAGGACGAACTTGTCCGTGTTCGAGAAGAGCACCACTGTGTTTTGCATGGTATCATCCTCATCCTCATCTTCCTCCTTCCCCAGTCCAGTGTCTGTGTCCATGCTTTGCTGCACAGGAAGAGGCCCGATGACAAAGGAGTTCAATAAGATAATGACAAAAAGAGTAAGGGAGAGGCATCCATCATTCCCAATAAGTAAGTGCTTCAATATTGCCTTTTAACTGCATTAATACAGGCAGCAGAGTGGAGACATGCTGAGTGATCCAGACTCTGGATTGGCGGTGCTGCAGGACCAGATCCCAGAGTACTTCACTCGCTTGTTCCACAAACATGCACTGCTGTAGAACTGGATATCCAGCTGGTCACCACCAACAAGAAACTGTTCACAATGACCTTTTTTAGTGAAATAGGGGAATATATAAAAAAAAACATGCAGCACTTTTGGGGAAACCACAATGAAGAACACAAGGAGCTAGCTTGTTACTGTAACTCCCCCAAAGAAATTGATCACAAAAAAAATGTTGCTCTATAAATCCAGTCTGCTGTCCAGTGTGTTTGACCAGCAAACTCGATGCACATCTCTCAGACTACTACAGTTGCAGTGGCTTATGTGATATCTGCAAGGCAGGCTCTGCTGGTGACCTCCCAGCGGGCGAGAGGCCACACTGCTCCCCTGGGGACATGCAGGGGGTTCTCACCAGGAAGGCTTCGATGCAGGACGCCATGGCCTTGAGACGCGAACGGCCCCGGCCACGCCCGCTGCCGCCTCCACGAGGCCGCCGCTTCCCTGGAAAACTGCTGCTCCGGCCCTGAGAGAGGGGGCAGAGAGACGAAGATGGCAACCAGGGTTTCATTTTTCCTATTTCAATGAAAACCTACAAACAAATCAGTACTTTCTCATGGTCCACTGCTCCTTTGCAAATCCGCCGACATCTGGATTAGAGGAGGGCAGGTGCTGTAAGAAGGGGAACGACCCCACCCCTGCGTTCTCCCAGGGGCGGGACAGAAACCTTCTGCTTTGCTCTGGGGCAGCAGTGTCCACAGGGCCCCCACTGGGAAGAGGGTCTGTGGTCTCACACACGTGCTGCCCCCCCACATCCTCAACACTAGAGAAGACTAAAAATCCCAGGGCGTTTCTCAAAAAGAGTAGGGGTGTAACCCCGGCATCCTGGCCAAATTTCCCATTGGCCCTTACCAATCATGGCCTCCTAATAATCCCCATCTATGAATTGGCTTCATTACTCTGCTCTCCTCCCCACTGATAGCTGATGTGTGGGGAGCGTTCTGGCGCACTATGGCTGCTGTCGCATCATCCAGGTGGGGCTGCACGTTGGTGGTGGTGGAGGGGAGTCCCCATTACCTGTAAAGCGCTTTGAGTGGAGTGTCCAGAAAAGCGCTATATAAGTGTAAGCAATTATTATTATAAGACGTCAGTGCAGCACAGTCTCCTGCTGGGGGTGTGCTCACTGTGTGAAGGGCCCTAAAGCAGCTGGGCATGATGCTGTTTTAATACAACCTGGCTTCAAAAAGCCACCCAACTATTTTGCGACAGAGTGGTCGGTTTACCATCGCGCAAGACTAAAAGGCACAAAATCCCCACAACCCAAAAGCCCTCGGTTTTAGGAAACACCTATTCCTGGCCCGCGCGAGGCGTCCGGAGCGATCTGCTACCTGCTTGACACGGGAGCGGCCGGGAGAGCCCCTCCGCTTGGCCTTGTCGCCCTCGGCCTTTAGCGTGTCGAAGGGCAGCGAGTCGTCGGTCTCGGTGAGCAGGGAGTCGGAGCGCGCCCGCCCTGCCGGGACCAGGCTGAGGTCCAGGGAGATGGACTGCGAGTCGGGCTCCCCAGGGGACCCCAGGAAACCGCTGCTGCTGCCATCCCCGTGGCTCAGGTTCGACATCTCGTCCAGGAAGAGCTCTGGCTTGGCTCCCGCCTCCCCCTCCGCTTCCCTCTGCTCTGGCTCCTGCTTCACCTTGCCCTCCTCCACCGGCAGCTCCTCCATGGGCAGCTCCTTATCCCCTGCTGGCTCCTCCTCCTCCTCTTCCTCCTCCTCCTCCGACGGAACAGCCCCCATATCCATTTCAACAGCAGGAGGGGCTTCCTTGGGGGAGGCGGGGCTAGTCTGTGGCATTGCCTCTTTTGGCTCCTGAGTTTCTGTGCCCATCTCCTCCATGGCAACAGCAACAGGCTCCTCCCCCTGGATGTCAGGAGGAGGGGCCTCGGGGCTGGGAGTGGCAGCTTTGTCCTGGACAGGAGTGTGGCTTGGACACGCCCCCTCATCACTGGCCTTCCCCTCCTCCTCTGGCACGCTCTCCAAGGCAGGGCTGGGCTCGGCCTCCTGCTGCTCTTTACTGCTCCCTGTCGCTACTGCCGCCGTCGCTGCAGGCGAGCCGTCTCGGGATGGCGGGTTCTGGGTCTCTTCATTCTTGGCATCGTCTTCACCGACAGCAACAACAGGATGGGGCTCAGATTCTTTGCTTTCGCCTCCCTCTGTTGGAAATGCCCGAGAGAAATCAACAAGTTTTAAATCCAGTCTGAAATGTTACAGTTCACAATTCCAAATTACAGCATCCTAGCATGTGACAAAAACAGTCAAGAAAGCAGCGTTCTCGCTGGATTTCCAGCTGGCATTTTCAGGGAGGCCAAAACAGCAGGAGATTAGAAAAATATTTTTAAAAAAAGATAACAGCAGGCTGCCTTCCAGTACGACACTCTGAAGCCGCAGAGGGCAGCAGCCCCCTCCTGTCTCACCGTGGGACCCTTCATTACCTGTGCTCTCCGACACTGTGCTGGGCTGCTCCTGGGGGAGGGCAGATGTGTCCAGATGTGACCCCTCTTCCGCCATCGGCTCCTCAGCGTCTGCCTCCGTCCCTGCACACGAGCACAGCAGGAGTTACACCCACAGCCTGGAACTTCTGTCCACCCTGCCCACACCTCACTAAGCTCTAACACACCGCCATTAAAATAAAGCAGATTGGGATTCAGCTGCATGACAGCATGACAGCCTGCGGTCATAGCCACACTGCCCATTGCTGGCCAGCCAATCAAAGGGCTAAAAAGTTTAGTAAGCCTGTGAAGCCAAGGGAGGGTCGAGGTTCCTGCTCAACTACAACCTGATACCACCGGAAATTGACATTCTGTGAAGAAATCCACGGTGCCTGGCAAATCAGTTGCCCAATCCTTCCAACAGGACGCCGTTTCCAATCACAAGGTCCAATCGTCAACTGCCGTTCTAACCAGCGCCCTCCCTTCGAGAAACCCCATACAGAAAATCGAATACGCTTCTCAACAAAGTTCAGACTCACACAGCACAGCAGGCTTGAATGGTCACTGCAGAAAGCTGTGGCTCTGGCGCACCAGTTTCTGAGCGATTAGGAGGAAGGGGAATGACCCCACCTCTGCACTCTGCCATCTCCTCCCACTACCCTGTCCAGTACTGTCTCCATCGCTTCCCCACAGCACAGCCCCAACTCAGCCAGCTAGCTAGCCCTGAATAATTACACACCTTAAGAACTACTGAGAAGAGTCATCCCACTTAAAGCAATACATCAAGGGTTTCTAGTCCTGGTCCTGAAAAGCTCCAACCTTGCAGTTTTTAGAAGGTCATCGTTTTATAAATATTTGGATCAATTTAAAACGGGACATAAGTACAGAACAACAAACAAAATCCATTAAGTCTGAGATTTAAGGAATTATGTTCAGGGAACATAATTCCATTAATTGAGCAACTTATCATTAAGAAATCAGTACTGCGGGGTAACCTATTAAACTTACAGGATTGGGACTTTCCCAATCAGGGTATGAAAACCCTGCTGGACACAGATCTTCAGGATCTGCCACACTGAAGGAATGTGTCAGATAATGTTTACCAGGAAGGACATCAAATACTGCAAAAGGCATCAGCAAACTCTGATCCCAAAAAAGCAAACAGAACTCAGAACTTACCCAGCTCCATGGGAGTGTCTGTCTCCACGGTGCCCCCTGATGGCGATGCTTGGCACAGCGTGCAAGTGTACTTATCCCCCTGTGGATCGGACAGACTGGCACACTCAATGTGCACCCATCTACAGAGAAGAGCAGGAGAGACAGGTCAGTCGAGGAGACAGCCCACGAGACACTCGTGCACTCACAAGAGACAAGCAGGCACGCAGTAGGCTTACCCGTTGCAGGACTGGCAGCTGCGCAGGCTGGCAGCAGGCTCCGTCTTCTTGCAGGCAGAGCAGACGGAGCTGCGCAGGCGATGACAGTTCTCGCACACCGAGTAATTATCGAACCACTGAGCAGAGCCCAGCGAGGATGAGCCCCGGGTACCACATTCACTGCATACCCGGCACCTCTGAAAGGAGAGGTGGAGAGGGCGATGAGCACTGCAGCACCCCAAGAGTCCAGGCAGTCCATCAGGACATTAGCTCTTGGCCTTGTGCATGAGGTAGCTTCTCGCAGGTAAATCTAAGAAGCGGTCTTCATGTCGCAGGGGAAGAAACCTGATGTTACACAATTCTGTAACATCCTGTTCTACTCAAACTTAGCAGCAGCCTTTGTGAATATCAATTTTGATACAGTGGCTTTCACTCAAAAGGCACCCTATTTAGTGCCCTGAAAAAAACATCACAAATCACATTGCAATTTCATGAATCCACACCGACGGTCACAAATGCGATTTTTCTGCAAAGCTTCCAGTGGCATGAAACTGCCTGCAAATTGCAGAAGGTCTGATCCCCTTTAAAACCCCTGGCGAAACATGGAGCAGAGGATCAAGGCCAGGGAAACCCTGGTGACTATTAGAGACCCCCACTGGCAGCTGAGGCCCGTGTACCCCAGCAGCTGCAATACACAAAAGGGAAGTCTGGGGTGCTCTGGCAGAGCACTGACTGCATTGTCATTAGACGCATAAATGTCATTTTTAGAATTTTAAAGAATGAAGGGATACATTTAAATAATAATGATTCAGCTACAAACAGCAGCAAGAATTAAATGGAGGAAAAAAATTCTAATCAAACGCAAAGTTCTTCCTTAAAGCCAGACGGAGGAAAGCTCTGCAGAATGAATATAGGATTCGTGAATATGGTCGATATTCAGTGATTTTGTTTCAGCAGGACTGTGCAATACTTGGAAGACATCCAAAATGAAATTAAATGGCACATTGTTCTCAAGGCTATTGCAGATTTCAAGATATGTTACACTTTACACAGCAAACACTCTTACAGCACAGAGAGACAAAGCTCCAGTCACACACTTCAAAAAACACGAGATCAGTCTGTAACCGGATAAGACGAAAGCCATCAACACAAAATGCCCATTCTACAGGTTTAAGGTAAAATCCGTCCTTCAGCTGCCTCTTCAGTTTAATGTTACCAACGGTGCCTGTTATCTACCTGCAGGCTGGGGAACGGACAGTTAGACGCAGGGCCAAGCTGAAGTGACCATGAGAGAGAGAGAGTGGGCTACACTCACCCGGCACTTCCAGGGGTCAGAGGGCACAGAGTCCATGGCAGGCTGCAGACAGAAGGTGTGGTAGCCTTTGTCACAGGCGTCACACACCAGCATCATGGAGTCCTCACCAGGCTGCCTGCAACCAACACAGCACAAAGCACTGAGACACAGCTAGCTGAACTCAGAGGCAGCCAGTCCTAGTGGGTTTAGTTGAACATTTAAGGGGCAAGTTTGAGGTCTGCAATTACTGATGTGTGTGGGGAAGCACTGCTCTAGCTTGTGTACTATACAGCGACTACCCGAAACTGGAGCACAATATGTGCATGGGATTCACATCATAAGCTGAACTCACGGTTACCCCTAAAGTAGCTCGAACTTCACTGATCTAAATATTAGGAACCCCCACTGAATAATCAAGGTCCTCCACAAGCGCTTGGTGGATCTGAAGTATCCGCAGCACAATCCCAGGACGGCCTTCAGCTGGGGTTGTGAGGAGGGTGCTGGTGTGTGGGGACTGAGCTGGACAGGTCCACTGGTTTCCAGCAGGAGTGAGTGCCGAGTGAGATCAGGGGATTGTTCTGGTTGGGGAAGGTGATGGAAGTCTCCTGCTCCTTCAGCCCAACCCCACACACACACTGCTGGAAGGGGTGGCTTACTGGACTGGGAGTTCCTGGTTTTGATCAGCGAGTGCACCCACAAGCATGTGCCCGTCAGCTTCCTGGCTCACCTGCAGGTCTGGCAGACCTTGCACTCGGGGCACTGCCACCCCGCGCGCTGGAGCGGCGTGGCGCTGATCTCCAGGCAGGCGGCATGGTAGTGCGTCCCGCAGCCCGTGCAGAACAGCAGGCCCGACAGCTCCCCAGCCGAATCGCACACGGCACAGCGAGAGTCCTCGCCCGCTGCAGGGAGCGAGCACAAGACATCAAGATGGAGAAAGATGGAGAAGATGGAGAAATAGCACCACAGACAATAGATTTACGCCACCTCTTCTCCTCCGGGCAGAAGAGATAAACAGAGGACTTGATACAGATCTAAAACTCCGTGAGGTGCTGACAACCGAAACCCCTTTGATCACTTTACACTCAGCACTGAAACAAGAAGGACAACTAAAAATTTGAGAACCTACAGGCACTTGTTTTTCTCAAAGGGTAGTGGGTGTCTCGAACCAGCAGCCTAGAGCACACCTGCTCTCCAGCTGAGCTCTGCAATGCCTCAATTTGCTTTTAAAGTTTAAGAAGAAAAGGTGGAGAAAAAAGAATCAACTGCCTCAAAATGACTGGAATCAGAAAGAAAAGAATCAGACATCTCACTAATAAAACTCTTTGCCCCTGGAATAGTTTGTGAGGCAGACCACAAAGGACAGCATGGTGGATAACACCCTCACCTATATCCACGGCCTTCTCGATGTGCTCTGGACACAGAAGGGCCAATTGCTTCATGGACTGGAAGGAACCACTGGCAGCAGCACAGGGGAAGTGGTAAAACCGACGACACCCCTCTGACTGGCACCGAATGGTAGCACCCAGTCTTCTACAGTATTCACATCGCTGGGATGGAAAAGGAGGAGGAAGAGCAGGAACAAATTCATTGCGGGCTGTCAATCAAATATCCAACAAGAGCCAAGCAATACACGCAACATAACATAAATAACTATACAACAAACAATCTACCAATACTCATCAGCCCATTAAAAAGAGTGAGGCACATATCAGGCAGAGACAGTAATAACAGGCCACTGAAGAGTGTGGCACCGCCCCGGCAGAGAAAAAGAGACACTGTAGAGTGCGGTTCTGATCCGAGCCCGCCTCTGAAGTGTGGAACTGACCTGTTGTATCCCTGAGATGACGGCTCCGTCGACATTCTCCAGCTCCTGGCCGTTGGCGCGACGCACCCCCTCCGACCAGGCGGCGCACCAGTGGTGAACCCAGCAGTGCCCTGTGCAGCACAGACGCATCACTCAGGGGCCGGATCCCCCCTTAAAACACCTGCTCATCCCGACACTAGGAAAACTGTCCTCTTCCAGTAAGCGCTGCACACGGCTATGCTGCATTTTCTAACTGGGCTAACCAGGTACTTTGAGAAGACCAGACTCCACTGATCTCAGGCTGAAGCAGATGTGAAAACCCCTGTTTGTCAGACCCTGCGGTGCCAGGACAGATGCTGCCAAGCGAGCTGCTGGCTGCGAGGGAGAGCCTCAGCAGGGCGCTCCCAGTTTCCCAAAGCATGCACAACGGAAGTGGGACAGATCTTGTTGGGAAAAATGTGGATCAGAAACTTGTGGGACTTTCCAAGTACGGGAAAGACTGAAACAAGCTTTCTGCATTGAAATTCTATAAAGTCTTGTCAGACACAAGTCAAGCTGCAGTTTTAACAAGCAATTTTTATGTTTCAGCTGGAAATAAGTGGCGTTTGTTTCAAAGCGACTTTCAAAGGACAAGGTAGGCCCGGGACGTGAAACAGTTGTGGCGCGGTGCTGACCTGTGTCGTTGAACAGCGAGGCAGGGGCTGTGAGCTCGGGGAAGCCGATGGTGTCCAGGTCGTCGGCCCCCGGACCTGCACAGCCAGCTGGGGGGTCAGAAGAGGAGGCAGTGGCGGCGTGGGGCAGGGGCGGGCGGTCGGCAGAGGGTGCGAAAAGCCGCAGCTCGCGCTGCCCGTACAGACTCCTGTCCTCGCAGTTGCACAGTGCGCAGCTCCGGCCGTCCTCCCTGCACAGGAAACCACCAAAAACAGGGATGTCAACACAGCTGTAACCCAATCTGAGCAACACCGAGTCTCGCAATAATAATCATAATACAGTATGTGACCTCCTGCTGTAGCCTGAGGGACAGACAGTGAATCTGTCTCACAATTTTTGTGATTTATACAAATGCCAAATAACATGTTTGTACTGTGAAGGTTATTTGTATCTGCTTTGGAAAAACTGTAAATCATCAGTCATGCCAATATAGCTCACTGAATCTGAATTAGTGCTACAACCTTTTGGAATTCAGTACAATACCTCCGCACTCTCCAGTACTATTAACTGGACTACTGTAATATCCTGCCGGAGAGCACAGCTGAAACTACTTGAGTTGCAGGTACCTGCAGAATTGTACTGTGCAGCAACACTACAGTTGAGTTGCACAGCAGTACAGTGAGGAGGACAGAGCAGGGACTCACATAGGTGGTGCGGGGGTCTCCCCGGCCATCTTGGGGGTCTCCTCCGCAGGGGTGGGGTTCGGCTCCCCCTCGGACAGAACAGGCTGCTCCGGGGGGGCGCTGTCATCAGCTGAGGTGGGGTGGGGGCAAGAGGAGGCTTGTGAGAAAGACCACTTCAGGGTGTCACAGCAGCATTGACACGACACACAGCGGCCCCAGCGGGACCCCTGCAGCAAGGAGTCTACCACCAGGAGCTTGGGCAGGGGCTGCCGCAGCTCTCCCCTTCAGAACTGCTGAAGGACCCCGCGCGTGGCCCCAGGGCGACTTCAAAACGTTCCTCGCTTTTCAAAACAAACCGCAGCCCGGCGATGCATTCAAGCTTCTAAATCCGGTTACTGCTGACATTCAGGACTGATGAAGAAAGATTAATAACACAAGAAAGCAGATGAACGCAGTCACCAGTTTGCACTGGAGCAGGAAAGAGGCCCGCAGCCAGGCTGGCCACAGCTGCTCCAGCGCAGAGGCTCTCAGACCGGGTGTGAAAAACCTCTGTTCTGCACAGTTAGGTGTGGTACAGCGGCACAGCAGAAACAGACCCCAGACAGCACCGCGCCCCTAAAAAAGAGTGGTCAACTCCGCAGGCAGTCTCAAAAGCTGTACTTACGAAATGCTCAACTGCTCAAAACGGTCAAGTTCTAAAAGGTACTGGTGAATTTTGGACTTTTCTTTAGGGGAAGAGGCTATACTACATTTTCTGAGAACCGATCCAGGTCTTTTTACAATGGATTTGTTTGAAAACTGTTATTATGGAAAGAACTAACAATTCACAGTCCAAGCCAGTTTTTTATTTTGATGACTGACCCAAGAAGTGGCGGTACTTCTTTAGACAAAGAGGGACAGCAGTCTGGAACAAGCTACCCAGCCACATTGTTGAAGCTGATACCCACCCTGCCCCCCCCCCCAGAGAAACATCTGGATGAGATCCTGGGACAATTTAACTACCAAACAGACCAGATGGCTTCTTCTTGTCTGCAACCTCTTGCAAGAATGCGTGTTCTGAATCAATGACCTGTTATGACGGGGCACTATCTAGGAAGCCTCACGTGGTAATATGTCCTTTTACATGCTTCGTGAAGAAGCTCTAACTTCTAAAAGCTACAGCAAAATGAAAGACTGAGCTCCTGAGTGTCTTGGCAACACACCACAGTGAGACTTTCCTGCTGTCTGGAGGCACAGATCCCAGTTCATTATGTTTACTGTAAACACCATCTTTGGTTCACGGGTCCTGTGCTGTAGCACCTTTCCAGCAGCTGTTATAGACCCCCGTTTTTCATAGTTAGTCCATGCGTGGGCTGACTCATTTACACATCCAGACCATGAGCAAGGAAAGTATTGATCCAGTTGTTAAAACCATTCACAAACTATCACAAGAGGAATAACATGGTTCTTAATATAAATCACCTTCAGATGATCAATCAAGCCTACTGGAAGAATAGCAATATCCTAGGTACCACACCTCAATATCAATGGCTCAACAGTTCGATCACCTGAAGTGTAATGCAGCTTCTCTAGATGGTTGTACACATTTCGAATACGATTTATGACTTGCATTGTGCAGCCCATTAGTAGTTCTGGATAACCATCATCTTTAAGATGTTGAGTGCTGTCATTATAGTGCGACATTAACTGCTGAAAACTGCATAAAACACACTGTGCACATCTTGACAAGCATTAAGGCTCTCTGCACTCCCTTTGTTAGCCAGCGTGGCAGCAGTAATTACTCTAGAAGAAGCCCTGCCCGTGTGTGTGTGTGTGTGTGTG